TAAACTTATTTTGAATTTTTAAACAATTTCGAAATAAATTTTTGTGAATGTATGAAACGAACCGTAGATTTCGGATCGGTTGTCGAATATTTTTTTATGAAATTTATTTTGTTGAATGAGTATTATTTTACAGAGTTGTCATATTTATCAAATGTTAAACGCCAAAAAAATGAGGTGTTTGGAAATGTGAATATTTTTTTTCCGAAAGTCCTGTATATTGTAAATATTACTAGAAATAATGAGGGTAATAGGTAGAATATATAAACAGATAATAATAATTATTAAATAACTATTAATAATACGTACAAAGGGATCCACGAAACAAAAAAAATAAAATTTGCAAAAAATGCATTTGTTTTGTTGTTGATCATTGTTACGATCAACAATGTTATCAAGAAGAAATTAGAAAGTTATCCAATACGGTCCTATATCTGATAAATATCGCACCAAATTATGCATAAAATCTGAAAGTCTATAAAAGACAAATTTAATGAAAATAATTCAAATGATTATAAATAAGTTTATAAAAATAAGAGTACCAGTAAGATGGTTTTACTTCAAATCCGCTGTCATGAAAATCCAAATGTAAAATTATTTTCCGTATAACCAACTACATATTTGTAGGATACATAAAAGTGATAAATAAAATAACTCTGCAAAGTAATGCAAACCAAAAAACAAATATTTAATGTATTGACAAAATTTCAGTAAAAAAACGAGATTTCGTTGTATTTAATAGAAAACAGAAACAATTTGTCTGTAATAAAAAAATATGTGTGAAATATGGTAAGTAATAGGTAATCTCCTGGCTGCATACAAATTGTATGACGATTTTTTATCATATTGAATCAAAATTGGCATCACACCTTTGACATTGAATGGCATTTTTAAATTTACTTCTGACGATTTGTAGGGCACACCCATAGACCATCAAATACACGAATATCATGCCGTTTTCGGAGATCCAAGCGGATATATATATCAAATGCAATGTCAGTTATTTATTAATATTATATTTAAACTAGTTACTACCAAAGTTGTCAATACTTTCTTTATTTTTACCGAGTTTTGTAACAAACTTGAATTGTTTTTTTTTTCAATAGATATATAGTTTATCTGATCATGCACGACAAATGAGGGCTTTTAAACTTATTGCTGAGAACTGAGGAATTGACTCAATCTTTTCCGCCTGATTTTTAGAGCTACTTTTCATTGTGCAACATCTATAAGGTATATTTTATAGGATGTAGCAATAAGCATTCAACGTTAGTGTAATGTAAAATCAAATAATTATGACTAAAAATAGTGGCAACAAAAGGTCAAGCAAGTCTAATAGAAGCCCTCAATTAGGACCAATTTGAGCATATATTCCAATTTTGTCACAGGGAATCGAAAATAGAACATTACAATAAATATACCGATATTAATTGCACAACGCTGCTAATGTTTTGTCGTCTGTGACTGACCGATTATACAAATATTGTTCTACGAGTCTTCACTAGTTGCCTGTTCAATCTGATTAAATAATTTAAAATATGTGTTTGTTAACCGTAGTTTTGTAGTTTAATAAAGATTTATGCCATATACTATTCTTTTAAAAGACTGCAACGTACGTATAAATAATATCTATTTTAGTAAACATTTTGGAATACCAACGTATCAAAAGTTTAATACAAACAATACCGGCTAGTTTTTTCTTATATTTTCTTCTTATATCTAATCCTTACAGCCAGTGGCACACACATATTTTCTTATTAAATAAAATGAACTACTGTTTTCTACTTCTTATAACCAATAAACGAAAACAGTGATTTTGAATAATTTTGACAATCTTAAAAAAAAATATTGCTTGTAGCGTATTGGAAAGTCGATGCATCTATAAACAGATTTAATTTTATTTAGGAAAATCTTGAAGGTTTTTAAAAGATAAAAAAATTGTGAATATCATTGATAAAATATTATTAACAAATTTTAAAATTGGAAAAATTATACAATAGCCCAAAATATGAAACCGTCAGTTTGAAAACATAATATCAAATAAAGAGGAAACACTGAAGAATATAAAACAAAACAATATAAAAGATACCTGAGTATTAAAAAACTTCAATTATGATGAGGTTGCAGCCGGTTACATGAGTGACGTATCTGAACGGGCTAACTAAATAAAAAATATTTTCCAAAATAGTTAAAAACCGATACAAAATGGCAGAATTGTTATGGATCTGTGTAAATTGATTGTTAAACTAATGCAAAGAAAATTTAAACTATATATATATATATATATATATATATATATATATATATATATATATATACGTCTAAAAAAGATACAAAGAATGATATCCAATGTGTTAAAAAACAGTATTTATGAAAAAGACGGCAGGACATATAAAATAATTCCATAAGAAATGAAAAGAACTGAATGTGTCATGAAACGGTGACAGGTAATGCTAGATTAATACCAGTAGATACAAACAACTAGTCCTGAAATAACTTTTGTTTTCAATCCATTAAATATTTCAAAATTATCCAAAAGCAAGATTATTTAATGGTTTTCGTCAACATTAGCATATACAAACAATAAAAAATATACAAAAAACAATCATTTAATAATAAAACACGCATATCTGGTGTGTTTGTCCAGTATGAAAAACATTAAACAGCAAATTTGACAACCACGTTCTCAAGCGCGTTCAGAAAAAGGAATTATTTAACATAAATATGCAACAAAATAGAAATAACCCTCAGTCCAGGTCAATGTATTTGTCAAACGAGAGCCCAAAACTACAGTATCTATTCTGACGTATCCTCAATTTTGTTAGTGAGCGATTCCACATAATCCAAAAAAATCAATTAGGATAATAACCTAAAGAAATAATATATACTCTTTATATTATATACATTTATATTTATTTCTTTGTCAATTTCATAGTAGGCGAATTATTTTATACACAATCTTGGCTAACTTTTATAAATATAACATAATTTTAACATTATGTAAAATAATCACTGCGCTTTTATATTGAAATTGAATGCCAAGTTACACAATATATAAAATCTCACAACTCGATGAATCTCACCCATTATTTGTAAGCTTATTGCTAATAAAAAATTTCTAAATAAAAAGTTTTCAAGTTAGTGAATTAAACTTTTTTTTTGAAAAATCATGGGAATCCCACTCGAACAAAATTTCAGAATAACCAAAATTATTGATCCTGTAATTGTAGGCTTCCATTTGAGACATACCTTGACCTTGAGTGGTCATTATTTTAACTAGAATTATAGTATAACTGATCATGAAAATCCGCCAACGAGAAATATTTTTATATCGATAAATGAAAAGTTCGCTAGATTTTTTAAAAGAAAGTCACACTCTGAATTTATTCATGCATTTCTGAATTTACCAGTATGAAATTATGTACTAGAAATATGAAAATTACTCTCATTAAAATCACATTCACCAAATCAAAAGTGGCATCTCTTAAGCGCCAAACCCTGGTGGAACCCATATCGATTGCGACTGAATGTTCGATCTAAACACATATAACTAGACTCTTCATTTATCTATCTATATTTATGTTTGAAAAATGTTCTCATCTATAAATACAAACTTCTTTTATGCATTTCCTAGCTTCGCTTTGTAATCACTTCTGATCGGAATTATAATAATTTAATTATGATTCACCAACATCCTAATATCAATCACTTCACAACACAGGTTTTAAAGATTAAACTATTTTTGTTTATTGTTTTTCCTTGGTAGTATTAGTATGATTTCTATATACATATTAAAAGAAACTGTTAAAAAGAAAATACCAACATTGATAAATGGAAAATCATACATAGACTATACGTTACTTATAATTTAAAATAATATATTTAGCAGTGTAAAAAAATAAAATTGCATGTCATTGAGAGTAAATAAAATGTTATACCAAATACTTACCGTGTCTAGACAGTCTGATGATTTTTTTTCTCGGTGAAAACTCTTGTGGATTTCGTGTGATTTAAATGAACTAGCCTTAAATAAAGTCGTCCAAGGAACGCATCTCAATAAATAGCGACAATAGCATGTTAAAGTAGCATGCTTTTCAGATTTCAGATTCATATAATATTGTAGACTGATGATGTATTAGAATTATTTAGATTTTAACAAAACCGAAAATTTATTTAGGTCACGATTACAAATATCGATTATTATTTGTTCTTGTTCAAATTATTAAATCTACGCTTCTACTGCGTAAGCAACGTTGTGGTTGAACGATATGCTAGTCAATTTTTACATTAAATATAAATCAGAATAAATTTAGACATTGTTGATTGAATATGTGTCTTAATTTTTCCTTAACTGGAACTTGACATGTATCTTAACTGTTATAAGTGAGACACAGATTAAATTTTTTAAGGTAACAAAATTAAAATAGTTTAATTTTTAAAGCTTATATTCTGAAGACGGTAGTTTAATAGAGTTTCGATTGTCATTTATATAGAGAGAATTTTGGAGAATAGGGAATATAGAAAAACACAACCATTAACAAGACTGTAACACATTTGTAAGACCCGATTCGAGGAAAATAATACCATACGTAAAAGGAAATACTTAAAATTGCATTCCGAATGTAATAAAGATCTGTGTAAAAAACGAATTGTTCTTCAAGAAATATAAAAACTAAGGGAAAAATATATTTGAAATTTAATTTCAAGATCTGCCATTAAAAGTCGACATCACTTTGTAAAAAAATACTCTAAAACTGTTACGTAATGATAAATTCACCAAAACTCTGTCTGATAGAAAAGCTGTATACAATTTTTTTTATTCTGACAATGACAATATAAATGAGGTATTATTTCCAATGAGATGCATCTTCCGAATGAACGTTTTTGCGCACTGCATTAAGTCAAGAATGTCATTTGAGAATTTTTACATAAATGTATCTTCAAATGTTAATTATGTATGAAGTGAAGTGATTGATGAATAAAATGGTTAAATAAAATATATCCACCTTTCATCATTTTATTTCAGAAAAAAATCTAACCATTCCTAAATTTTGAACAAAAATACACTGATATTTAAAAAACAACAACATAAAATTCAAAAACATCTACAAAAAGTTTTCATTTTTTTTTCTACACAAAGTAATTAATACATTTTTCGATTTTTTGTTTACTTTTTTATTAAAGACAAAACTTCTCGTTGAACGATTAGACCATACAGTATGCTTGTCAAGAAAAAATCTTGGGAAGAAATACTTGTATATGAATTGTTGATGTAATATAATTTCTCAGCACTGTAGAATGTAAATACAACATAAGAACGCATTGTTAAAGGTAATACTATCAATTTTATTCCATACAAATAAGACAATATTATGTATAATTAACTATTGCATATAAAAAACAAGCTTAAAGCATGCCGATCTGCCAATAATTAAGTTTCAAAAACTTCATTTAACCCATTCGATCGGGCGCAATAGCAAGAATCCAAGTATAATTTGGGAGATTTATTAACTGAAAATTAGACAATATGATTGTTTTTTTTTACTTGCGGCGATAGCTTGAAACACGTATTTTTCTTTCATCATCATAATATACAGTTGGAAAGCGAAAATAGGAACAACTGTATAGACAAATGCTAAATATTAAATTATTGAACCGAAAACCAAAATTTGCATAAAAACCGAAAAGAACTCGATTCGTTCGAGGTATGACTTTAAATTTTAAACTTTTTAACCAACCTCTACCGGAAGGGTAGGTGTAAACTTGACTTAACTATACCTAAATCCTGTAAATTTGTAAAAATAGAACGTCTTATGTTTCAAGTAAAAGTTGTTTTGAAAAACAACGAATCTATTTTCCATTTTGTTTTGTATGTTATTGAAGAATACCCGGACACAATTTAAATTATGATGAGTTAATATTGAATATTTTCGACTATGTGACTCTAAATATATATCGCCCATCAAAGATGAGTATCAGTTTCAAAAAAGTGTCGCCTTAGGACAGAGAAAAAAAGTTACCACTAACTTTATACTTTTTAACCAAATATCAAAGAACTTATGTCATTTTTCTACTTTTATATTTGTCTGATAAAATTACTAAATGGCAATTAATAATGGACAGCAACGAGCTTGTCTTTGAATCGGCTAGAACTTCGATGGGCAATATATATCCATAGATATAGCTTCGACTATGTTGCTACGTTTCGTCCGGTCCTACCAGTACATAAACAAATCATTAAAAACAAAATTAAGTAAACCATTTATCACAGACTTGCACGTCACGATTTATACAAAGTGACGTCACTTGTATTTAAAATTTCCAGAACATCAACCTTAGAGTTCAAATTTTCCTAACACAGCTAATAATACGAAACCCATACTGCTCCATCTTTCATAGACGTCAACATGGTGTAATAATCAAAAAAATGTAATCATTATTATATTGGAAATTTTAGATTTATATTGATTAAATAACCAAAAACATGTGTTATTATTAATAATATAAATTTTATGAAATAACTATTTAAGTCTAATATTCCACAAAATAATAATTTTAATTAAATATATTAGACAATTATACACAAATGATGAAAATGTTTTCTTATGTCTTTTAGTGTATTGCAGTAGTCTTAAAACTAAGTTTATTTACTGTTAATATAATAGTTTGACAAATAGTTGACATTTTAACGATTCCTCACTTACTAAATATTCTGATGTTTTGGCAACGCTGTGGGGTTTTGACGACGTAAATCTTGAATGACGTGCAAGCTTTTTTATATGAAAAACACTGTATACTATTAAAACGTGTTCAGAATGAACCAGCCTTATTTCAATTAAAGATTAAAAATGATAAATAACAAAATGTTTAAGAACACTGTCAATGATTATTTAATATAAATGTTACTTGAAGCATATCTAAAATCTAATAAACTGTAGGCGAACGACCAAATTCTTTGCTAATTGAAGTAGACAGGTTTAACTTCCAGAACCTAAATTTTATGGCTTAAAACCCCATGTCCAGAAAATCGTCTGTAAAAGATGTAATACTCCCGAATGTACATGAAAATTTTCTGGATATTAAGGCAAATTGAGGGTAAACTCAAACAATGTAATTGAATCCAACTTGCTTAGCTTAAAAAAAGGAGAGTAATTTATGTGTTAAGGTGAATTTTACTGCCGACTAATTACATACAATGTACTTAATGTTCAAAATCAAAATACACTTTTTTTATTTGGATATCGATAATTACGAGGATTGTCCGAAAAGTATCTGATCTTCGAATATTTCGCGCCAAAACGTTTCAATTCCCTCTACGGAGTGCGAACGTAATCGGTAACTCTTCACATATCGCATTTTACAACGAGAGTGCCTAGTTCGTAATAGCACACTTTTGTTTATATTGCCTTTTTTGCGTTCGGCGCATTTGTTGCCGCTGATAATTATAAAAAGACGAAAGCAACGAATTTACAAGCTTTGTTTAAATTAAAAAATAGTTTTGCGAAAACATTAAAATGATGCAAAAGCCTTTTAGCCATAAATGAAAGATCAAAACATAGATAAAAAGAATGGTTCGATCGGTAAAAAAGGACTGCAAGTTCTGGTTATCTTTCAGCACAACACTGGACTATATAGCACGTACGATTGTAGATCGTCGTTTGATTGTCCGGAACTATAAAACTATCTTTGAAATTAGGCACCTTGTGTTTCGGGAATTCGAACTAAATAATCAGAAATAACACGCATGTCAAAAATTGCCCATGAAAAATTCGCTTAGAAGTCGCTCTCGATAACTTGAAAGTGATCGCTAATGGTAATAATATGCTTTAAAAAATCATTACAATAACTATCCGTTAGTTTACAATTATGACAGATAAACAATGAACTAAAACAGGGAGATGCACTTTCACAACTCTTCAACTTAGCTCTGGAGCACATAATCAGAAGTGAAAGAATAGAAAACCGAATGCAGTATTTCATCGAGAAGGACCAAACTTACAACTGGCATTTGCAGACGATATCGATCTAATAAGAAAATGGAGCTCCAAATCAACGAAATATATGTATGTGAGCCGCAATAACCAAAGCAGAGACAGAATCGGTCAGAACATCACCATCGATGACTTTAATTTTAAGCGCGTTAGAGCATTCAATATCTTGGAACAACAATAACTGAAGACAATAACGGATCACAATAAATAAACAACAGGATTCAGGCCGGTAACAGATGTCTTTTTGCCCTCCAAAACCTTATAAAATCGAAACAACTAACACGACGTACGAAGATACAGGTTTATAAAACAATCATACGACCCGTTATGATGTATGGAAGCGAAACGTGGACGATAACATAGGCAAACGAAGAGAGACTATGTGTTTGGAAAAGAAAAATCGTAAGGAAGATCTTTGGTCCTGTGCTGGATGAAGCATCAGGACAATATAGGATAAGAAGTAACAAAGAGCTCGAAGAACTTTACCCCAACATAATAAAAAATAAAATAAAGTCCAGAAGACTCCAATTGGCAGGACACCTCCGAAGACATTCTGACGAACGAACAGTAAGACTGGTGTGGGAGGAAGTCCCAACTTGAAGAAGACCACGCGGACGCCCTCGTCTCCGGTGGCGAGATAATATAGCAGGAGACCTAAGCACTATGGGCGTGGAGAATTGGATGGAAGTTGCTCAAGACAGAAAACGTTGGAGGCATGTTGTCGAGTCGGCTAAAACCCACGAACGGTTGGAACTCCACGGAGTAAGTAAGTTTACAATTATGATCCCGAAACAAAATAACAGTATTTTCACTGAACGCTTCTCTCCCAACATTCACGTAACTTGCACCATTAATAAACTCTAAGTATTACGGCTTAATATTAAATACACAGCTTTTGGTAAAACAACTTCCAATTGACAGAGTGGACAGCTACACATACCTTGGTACCAACATTAACAGCCAATGGGATCACTCCAGTGAAATAAATCAATGCATAGGAAAAGCGAGATCAGCGTTCATAATGATAAAGTCTCTTTTCAGAAGTCATGATTGTTCACTTGCTACCAAAATCTCTCTCATTAGATGCTATGTATTTTCTACGTTATTATACGGAGTAGAGGTCTGGACACTTTCCAAAAATTTAACTAATTTAAGAAAATTCGAGGCATTATGTGGTGTTACAGACGTATTTTAAAAATTTCATGGGTAGATCGTGTGACTAATGTTGAGGTCCCACGTAGAATAGGCAAGGAATGCGAGATTATTAACACCATCAAAGAGCGCAAACTAAAATATCTTCGCCATGTTATGAGGAATGAACAAAGATACGGCTTGTTGCAACTCATTCTTTAGGGCAAGGTATTTGGAAAGAGAGGACCAGAGAGAATATCTTGGCTTCAAAACCTAAGAAAGTGGTTTAATACATCGACAACCGGACGATTCAGAATAGCAGCAAGCAAAGTTAGGATAGCCATGTTGATCGCCAACATCCGGAACGGATAGGCACCGTAAGAAGAAGAATTACGGTTTATAGTATATGGTCAAAGAATTTTTAGTTCGGTCACAAAGAATTTTTCTAAAAAGATTGCGTGACGCAGTGAGAAAACGGCTCCATTTTTCGTGTCGGTAATGTGACAGCTCATTCATTGAACTTTTTACAATACTTTTTTATAAAAAATAAGGTTCCCCAACTCCGCCAGTCTCCATAAAGCACCACCACAGCATCCTGAGGCTACCACATGTTTCCAAAATTGAAAATGTCGCTTAAAGGATAACATTCCAATAGTTCAGAAGTGCTTCAATGACTTTAAAGCATCGATAAAAAGGTGTTGTAAAATCAAAAGAAGGATTATTCCAAAGGATGCCACAAACTAATTAATGAAGAATAAAGCTATATTAAATTACGAAGCTATGAATGAAAGCGCATACTTTTGGGATATACATCATATATTATTCAAAAATTAATAGCGACATTAAAATCTGAATACGGTAGTGTCTCATTATATGAAATCAGAATAAATCTAAGATATACAAACAACAAACAACAAACAAAGAGTTGTATTGATGTACATGCAACGTCTATAGTATCTACACAGTCTGGTAGGTATATCTCCAATATCCATTTATTCTATGCCACTGAGAAGATTCGAGCAATTAAGCTTAAGTGAGTAATATTTAATAAATACACTGCAGAAAATGTAACATTCTAGACTGGATATGATATTGAAAATAAGAGAAAAGGCACAATTATTTTTGTAAACATCAATTGAAATAGCTTTACCGATGTCTAATTTTCATTAATATTGAAAGTAATCCAATCAAATACGGGAATATAGTTAGTTTGAGTTGGATAATTCTGTTAACAAGTGGATAAAATGGTACTTCTTTAACGAATCAAAAAGTTGACAACATAAGCCGTAAGAAGAGTACAGCCATATCATAAGTGAAAAGACACTTGATGTATATGTTGCATACAATATTTGGGTGTATGGTATTAATATAAAAATCAAAATTGTATACTGTTACGTTATACTTAGAGTAAAATAAATATAGTGATCACTCAAGGTATGCGTCAAATAAAAGCGCTTAATTATAAGAAATATAATAAGCCAGTAAACGAAATAATGAAAAAACCACTTAGGTCACTAGTCTAAAAAAATATTGTAAGGCTTATATATTTGAATTTCTTAACTTTATTGGTCAATTCCATAATAAGGAAACTATCTTAGCTAAATTTACTATAGCTTCACTGTAACTAAGGTGGTAATTTCAAAAGTACCAAAAATAAAAGGAGATATCAGAACAAACTCTTTTTAACTGACCCCCTTTTAAAAAATTGGCTAAATTGTTGTTATCAAAGGAATTCCTTTACTATGGAATTCGCAAGTAAACAGTAAACGATTGCCAATGTATATGCAGTATATTTTTTAGATTAGTGACCTAAGTGATCTTTTCGATTATCTCGAGAATCGACTACTAGCAAAATTTGAGCATACGCCGAAATTTATCCATTAATTGGGGTCTTCAATACAAATATCTCGATCTTGAGTGATTAATATGTTTATGTTACTTCAAGAATATTGGGAAATATTGCTAAACTTTTGCAATTAATATATATCGGAAATTAACCACAATTGTAAGACTGGAAATATTTTATTAATGTTTGGACATCCAGATTTTGAAAAAAAAAAATACCTAATATGATTCCATTAATAACTTTAAGAAACAACTTAAAAGTGGGGTCCATCTTAACCCTAATCCACCTTAAGTGTTTTACATTCTTTTGTGTAAATAGGAGTGAATATTCATATCACTTTATTAAAGAAATGTCAAAGCTGATTGATTCGCAAACACGATTTACTATAAAATTGGCAGAAGCAAACATGTTTTTAGTTTTAATGTGGATATTTGAAATATTGCTCAAATATATCTAAAAAATATATATTTTTATATAATACTGAAGACTTAAAACATATTAACACAAAAATTAATAAAAACATCAAAATCCTTAATAAACGTAGAGTTAATTTGGATATTCCCAAGATTTCTTTTTTTATTTGCGAGATATAATGACCTAAATACTTCTCATGGCGGACCTCAAAAATTTTAATAATTTTGTGTAAACGGGGGACGTATTAAATAAAAAAACTCTGAATCACGCTTATTTACAATCACCCTCTGATTTTTTCAAATTATTATGCAATAGAATATTGAATTATATTGATTAGTGGCATGTCAGTCTATGCAGTTATCTTCAGATTTACTTGGCGACGTATCCAAGTAGATCTTTAAGGCTCTCTCCCCACCAGGGGAGTAGGATGACAGGTTCAATTTACGGAGGCGAGTGTTCTCTTTTTGGGCTAGTTCTTTTCTTTCTTCGCTGGTGAGTTCTTTCATTGTTTCTCGGTTGTCCCTGGTAAAAAAAAAACAAAGAAAATAAATAAATGTAAATTAAAACGTTTTTATATTTCACAGAACTATTTTTTTCATGATAAATTTAAAAAGATACAAATCATCAGGCAAGGAACATGCTATCAACAGTGCTCTTGAATTTGGTTTTACATCAAAGTTGAAAAATGCAGTTAAAATAAAAAAATCCATAGAAACAATCATGTGAAGAATATATATATATATATATATATATATATATATATATATATATATATATATATATATATAAGAATAGAAAAAAGTAAAATGGATCTGTGAAGTAAAGTGAATAATGGAACGGCCGGGAAAGTATTAACTAAAAATATATCAAAAGAAGACAACGTATGTACTAACAGGAAACATATAGCAAAAAGATGAGGTAGACATAAAGGTGCACATTTTAAAACGTAATTTTTTTTTTAATAAGAAGAAAAGCAATCTGAAAACGGGAAAGAAATGTTAAGATCTATATAATATCTATACTGTAATCTATACTATAATAACTAATAGGTTGACATCAAAACTAGACTTTTATTAACCTTGCGAGCAAGCAGGATTTAGAGCTGGATACGGAACAAATGATCATTTGCAACCCATTAAGTCGTTAATTGAAAAAACCATTAAATATAATAGACCCCTGATACTAAAATAACAGATAAAGATAAGATGATTAAGGTAGTTGAAGAATTTTACACAGAATTATATAGAAAACGGGTAAGAAAGACGGCACCAAGTTGAGAAAAGTCCAGATTGTGGGTTCAGAGGATATCCCAGAAATAACAATCGAAGAAGTCTTAGTCATTAAATCGAATGAAAAACAATAAAGCAGCTGGTGATGATCAAATCGTTATTGACGCAGTTAAATCAGGAGGAAAGACAATATCGAAAGCATTGACACAATTATATAACTTATGCCTTTCAAAAGAGGTTACACCATCTCAGTGGAATAAAGCTTTTATAGTAGTCATGTACAAAAAGGGAGATATAACAGAGCTAGAGAACTATAGACCTATTAGCTTGTTATCTCAAGTTTATAAGTTGTTTATGAAGATAATAACTAATAGGTTGACATCAAAACTAGACTTCTATTAACCTTGCGAGCAAGCAGGATTTAGAGCTGGATACGGAACAAATGATCATTTGCAACCCATTAAGTCGTTAATTGAAAAAACCATTGAATATAATAGACCCCTGATACTTGTCTTTGTCGACTTTGAAAAAGCATTTGATCATGTGTTGGGCACCCTGTATAAAAAAATGTTACATGCGAGAGCATAGCGTTTACTCACCTATAAAAGAAAACAGTGCCATTTTCAGCACTAACAGGCCACTCTTCTAAATTAGTGGTCTGCAAATGCCATTTGTGCGATTCCATATCTAAAACATTTATATCACAAGGGAGAGGTTGTTTGATATTGGCTACTTCTATATGTTCTGTAGGTAGGCCAGAGAGTTCTGATAACTTTTTCTTTAGATCTTCCATGGTTAAATGGTCTAGAACTACTTCTTGGAAGGGTTGAAGCGTTAAAGTCGACGGACACCTACAAATAACACAATAGTGTATATCAATAGTAGCAGGAATTGATATGGGTACATAATTTAATTAACAAATAATCAACAATCAACCATCAAAGAAATCATAGTAGCTTTGGTTGAAAAACTATAATTTATTTATAGTCAAGAAAAAGCTCATGAAAGCATGAACACAGGGTGATCATCTTTCCGATGGAATATTCATTGGCTGAACCATCATAAAATAGTAAAATAGAGAATATGAGGCAAGCCGGTCCTCGAGACACTTTAGTTTTTGCATGCATTTATCAGAATCTTTTGGATCTTATGTAATTGTTTGGACGCACTTTTCTTGGATGTGAATAAATTATAGAAGTGATCGTGCATCTTTACGTAAAGCTGAGAATATTGAAGTTGGTCAATATGTCACTGATATCGAAGATATTCTCAACCCAGCCTTTTTCTCACATTATTTTCTTTATTTTATTTCTCACATTATTTTTCTCACAAAATTTTAATTTTGTTTTACCAAGATGTGACTACTTTACCTCGTAAACTGTTTTTTTACTACGTATGTAGTATGAGTACTTCAGTTCCCCCTTATAATTAATAAATCATTTATAAATAATTAATTTTGTCTGTGTATATTTATGTTAAAATACGTAATTTTTTTTACGAAACAAACTGCCAATTATAAACTTAGCTGCATTCCTTTTTATGGACCCATTAAGAATGTCCATATTACCATTCAGTCTAGCAATATGGTGAGCTTTTTTGCGGTAAGTCTGGCTTATTCTTGTGTTTAAATCATAAAATATAGAAAGATTTTCTTATCTTCCTAGTTACTTTGCTGGGGCTGGCATTCAGTAGCAGCGCTCATCAATATGTTACCATCACTGCAGTTTTAATGCACGGCTACTTTGGGAGCCACCCTTTGTCAATGGCATCAATCGTCTTTTTTCATCGTCTTAAAGCCGACGCGGTAAGAAAGAAATTAGAGTTGGTTCGAGATAATGCCCTGTTTTTATTTTGTGTTACAAACATAATGCCTCCAGAGTAAGCATTTAAGTTTTAATAGTTTTGATTAGGTAATAATTTTATACGTTTTAGGATGAAATTAAGTCATTTATAAATCTCTGGTAATAAAAAGTTAAAAAAAAGGACTTTTTTGGGGGTGAATTTACCCCGTATTAAAAAAGATGGGGTAGTTTTTTAACTTTTTAGTGGTTGGTATAGTAGATTCTGAGAAAAATTGTATGGAATAAAATGGTCTTACTTATTTTTTACCCATAATCAGCGATTCCTGTTGATTCTTGGATGTCCTCACTGTCCAGTAAAAGGCGTAAATGGTCGGTCAAAGCTTTTTTTCTTCATAACTTTGCCCTCTTTTGATGTCTCGCTGCTCCTTCTATTGGCAATACCAGGAATAACTGAGTAATTCAGCATTGTTTTCTCCAATAAGCTGATTACCTTTGAATTTTCATTTCATATTATCCTTATTTCAATGTGTTCCTTTACTTCGTACACCTTTTAAATGACCACCAGATCCAGGCCTTTTTTCCGATTTTCAAAACAATAATTTTCGGTAAATTTCAATAATACAAAACAAGTTTTAGAAGGAAATTGTCGAGTTTCAAGTGCACAGGTCAAGCGCGGTGTTGTATAAAAACGAGTGTTCCGTTTCCGAGAGCTCAGGTGCGTACCATTACAAGTACAGCTATTACTTCGTTTCTATTTCGAAATTCTTAATAAAATTTTAGGACAGTATTTCTATGATACTAGAAATGTTTTTAAGTAAAAAAACAAAAATCGATTTTTTTTAATTTATAACGTAAAAATCCCCTTAATATAAGTAAAACAATCAAATATATAGTTATAGCAAAATGATTATCGTTGTTTCGTCATATTCATTTAAATCCTAAATAAATATTGTGTGCAAACATATGTAAATAACACAATTAAATTAAATGATGCAAGTGAGCGTTGTTGCCAAACAAAAAAATCTAGGAATTTTTCAAAATAACAATCGGATATACTGCTTCTTTCCATCTTTACAAATATTAGACCAAGGTAAACAATTATTAATATTAAAAGGGCTATTTCAACAACATCTCTTCGTCGACTTCATAGCAGCCTATGACAGTGTGAAAAGAACTGCATTATATAATGCAATGATAGACTTTGGGATCCCACCTACGTTAATTAAGTTGACCAACTAACAATGAAAAACGTAAGCAAGCGTTAGAAAATGCAATCAGACAATTAAAAATATTAGAATGAATGGAACTATTCGGTAGATCGACGCAAATTCTCACATTCGCTGACGATGGGCAGAAGTATGAGAGACTTGGGCCCTGATTCTATTTCATTTCGATGTTGAAATTTAAAAGCGACTACGCCATGACAGTCGCAATCGCTAGCGATTCTCATTCATTTCGATTTTAGTTAAAAGTGGGGACATTTACTTTATCATTTTGACACTGCTCAGAATTTGGGTTGGCCGTCTTGTTTATTGGCTGCACTCTGCACGCTTGTTAAATGTTTGTTTTGTTTACATTTTACGATTTTTGTTTCTTGTTTGAGTTGTTAAATTTTTAGTTTCACTAAATTGTCTGTGGACCAAAAAGAAATTATGATGGCTTTTGACTTAGTGGTTATATTATATTTTTAAATTTACTGCAGCTTAGTATTGGTATTACTAAAAACAATACATTATCGCTCTAAAAATTCTTGATGAGTTTAAAGATTATTTTATATCTCCAAATAAGAGTGTAGAATTAAAATAAATTATTAAAACCAAATTATTTATTATTTCTATCTTCCATTACAGCCTGTTGAATATATTCAAAAATTGTGGTTTCCAATTTAGTTTTAATATTGGGACATTTTATTTCTTTAATTTTTACACCACAGTATATTTTAAAATATAATCAGCATCTGGCTTGGGGCCCCCAGGTACCGCAATTCTATTTTTATAGGTGTTAAAATTTCGACCAATTATGTGCCGAATCACATACAATTTCTGATAAAACGCAGCCATATTAATACTTTTTGCCTCAGTTTTCGTTGCAACAATCAAACAAAACAACACCGCCTAAACTGAATCTAACCTCGCTTCCCCCAGTCCCGCTAGTCATGTCAGATTAATTTCGACTCGAAATTAAATTTCAACCACTGTCTTGAAGTTGAAATTAATTTCGATAAATCGAAATTTAGTGACGTCCTTTGGTTAGCTCAGCTGAAATCCGCTAGGTTCGCAAAGTCGCATTTCGACGTCGCAATATTGATTTCAACATGTTTTCAGTCGAAATCTCAATTAGAATCAGGGCCATGGTGCAGTATTTTACAAGGCTTGCTGACGTGGCAAGTGAATTAAGACTTGTGGTAAACGAAGAAAAAACCAAATATGTGGTTTCTAAAAACCCCCGAAATATCCAACAGAGAATTCAAATTAACAACCATACCTTTGAGCAAGTCAAAGAATTCAGATAACTTACATCGCTAGTAAACGAAACCAACACGACAAACGACGAAATAAAGCAACGATGCGTAGCAATAGAAAACAAAACTATTTACGGTTTCCAGAAACATTTAAAAAATAAAAATAAAAACGAGCAGTAAAGCTAAATATATACAAGACCTTAATAAGACCGGTTTTGATATATGTGGCTGAAACGTGGACCTTATCTCAAAATGATGAAAAGACTTCTTGGTATTTTTGAGAGAAAAATTTTTAGAAAGATTTTTGGGCCGTAAATGAAAATGGGCTATGGTGTCAAAGATACAACTTTGAATTATATCAGTTATACACCGAACCAGATATTGTGAAATTTGTTAAAGTGAAGAGATTTAGATGGGCTAGACAAATTGCTAGGATGGCAGATCACGAATAAACGAAGAGATTAACATTTTCAAAACCAGAGGGCACAGAAGTAGAGGACGACCACAAAGGAGATGGATTGATGATGTTGAAGAAGACCTACAGATTCTAAGGGTCAGACGATGGAAGGAAGTTGGTTACCAGCAATCGACAGGAGTGGCGACTTCTTTATGAGCAGGCCAAGATCCACAACGGATTGTCGAGCCACTTATGATGATGATCAAAAACTTTTGAAGTTTTACCGCATAATAAAAAATTATGGTAAAATTACCGATTATATAATTGTAATGTGTACATGCTAGTTAATTTTGATTAATTTGTTGATTGTATGGTGTACAAACATCAACGGGTAAACTTCGACATAAATTTCTAATTTACTTACCACTTTCGGACGAAAAGGACGCATTGTTCCCTCGTCGTCACTGGTTCAGTATCGGGAAGTTCTTGCAGAAAAACATCAACATTGGAAGAAACAACTACGATATCTTTATCAAATCGCTGATCATCCAAATACACTCTTTTTGGTTTTTTCCAATTTTTCTCTCGCAAACGACATTTATGATAAGGTATATCGAGCATATGCTGTTTTTTGGCTTGCAAGATAATATCCTTTTTCACAGAACTGACTGTCTGTCCTTTTATGATGATATGTTCAAATAAAAAGTTATTTACGTCCATATTGTCAAGTTTCAGATGATAGACACTGCATTTCAGCTCGTCTTTTCGTAACACTCGGCCTAATTTTATAGTTATTCTAAAAATAAATTAATGTAATAAAAAATCTTATTAATTATAAACAAATATTTTAATCACATTGAATTAAGTGTAAAATTTGGAAACATATTTTTAAGTAAAGAAAAAGAAATTAGTTTCTACATACTTTAAACTTTACAATGGGAAATATAAAAAAAAAGAAAACCAATATTCAAACGAAGTAGTGACAGCTGCAAAAATATACAAATACTAGAGCCTCCAAGACGGCTACCAATGCCGATGACATATACAGGGTATTCTATTAATAATTGGAAATATTTTAAGTGTAGATTCTTGGGCTCAAGAATATCCCAAAGTTTTAACCCAAATTACTTAAATAAAATGTGGCTCCTTACTAAGTTACAGGGTGTTTTATTTAAAGATTTAAAAACTATTTGTAGCCAATACTTTAAAACTATTTGACATATTCTTGTCATACTTGGCAGGAAATGTATGTACTGTACACCCTAGCAAATTATGTTAAATAAACGTATCTTTCTAGTGCCATAGGCGTTCGACAGGGGAAAATGAATGGTTGGCCTCTCTCAAATTCTACGCCACTGGCGGAATTGTTATTTTAGCACATATTTGCGATTCTCCAATACTCTTTATGTAAATAATATACCCTTCATTTGTAACGATAAAGTTATAATTTTTCGAGATATTTGAAGGTAAAAATGAATCAATATAGTTATTTTGGTTAATGTATTAATTATGTCGGTGTTTTTGTGTCATAGGATTGAATTTATTATGCAAATAAAAATTTTAATCGCTGCTAAAAATCATTGTGGATGATAAATAAAAAAACCAAAATTGTAATTTTATTAAAAAAATAACATTTTTACTGACGGGGCTACATTTACACGTAGGGGAGTATTGAACTGGAGAAACAGCAACAGTTCGGATATTGAAAATTCTAATCTATTTCGAGAGTCACATTTTCAACATGAATTTAAGATTAATGTGTGTATATTGCGGTATATTTGGAGATAATTTGTTAAGTCCTTATGAATTACCAGCAAATTTCAATAGTAACTCGTATTTGCAGTTTCTACAAACTACACTTTTCTACAATCTAGAAAATTTGCCACTGAATCAAAGAAGAGATATAAGAGTTCCGCCTCGTTTCCTTTAATAGTATGGAACTATCTAGATAAACAATTTCATCATCGTTGGATTGGCAGAGGTAGTTAAAGTATAAATGATATTAAATTCTTTTTGCGGTCAGGTGGTACTTTAGAGGTTGCCGATCGAGATGGCAATTCCAACTTTACATAAGGCAGGCCGTAGGAAGAATTCAACACCAGTACAAATCGTTCTACAGATTGTACAGCCAGGAAATTTACTTGTCTGGTCTGTCTCATGTCTTACAGTTCTTTGGTCCATGATTTTACCCTACATTAACGTTAAAATATCTTATATTCTGGATTACGGAAAATTTGTTGCATGCAGTAAAGTTTCCATAGCATTACATATAATTTCAATTTATTTTTCTATTCTTTCCTGTATCTGTTGGTTTTTAACTCTATCAACCCAAATAATTTTCAAAATTCGCAAATGCACCCATATCGCCACAGATTCCAGTTTCTTTGTTGTTTCTTTATCTATCGAATCTCGTCTGTAGAGGACAAAAAGGAATACATATCATTTTTATTTTTATAAAAACTGATAGTGCTTGTTCTCTATGAGATATGATCTCTTGTTTGTGTTGAAGATTCTTGTTCATTAGGGTGTCAAGATATTTATAATGCTAAACGTGTTTCGTGTGGTGCCTAAGGAAGTCATCGTAATTCTCAAATCTGAATTTTGGGTTCGTATTTGTTTTGAAGTGATGTACCGCCAAACAAATTTTGTAGTAGGCTAAATTATTTTTAAAAAACTCTGGATCCCATGAAACTGATCTCACGAAACGACAACATGTAAGTATCTTTAGAAAAATACATTTTTAATTGCGTAGATACAAGTTATTGATTTCTGAAGGTTATTTGAAGCCGCATTTTCCTATTATTTTTCTAACTTGGGACATGGAACTGAATCATTATAAAAATTATAATGTGTCTTTTATTACAAACTGTACAAAAATATTGTATTAGCTTAACTTTTTATCAGTGTTCTTAACCTGTCACGTCAGAGATCACGTGACAAGTATGGGGTTCTCGCGCAATTTTAAACAGAATATAAAATAGGCAATTCTAAAATTATTAGTTACAAAAAAAAATTAAAAAATTTGGTACTTATGCACGGTTTTAAAGAGTTTTTTTTTTAATAGCTAGTATCCTTATTCTTGCCTTTACAGCTAAAGATTTTTTCTTCGTCCAGAATACTTTGTTTAGTACCAGTTGAGATTTATTTATTTTAAAGTTTTTACTTTAAAATGTAAGAAGAAAAAGTATCTACAAGGTGGTTGGGTGGGTATCCAAAGCTGAAATCTGTCGAATATTTCAGAATGAAAACATTTTACATAGAACCATTTATACAACAGTAGCGGAGTACTGGCAGGGAATACCACGTCTGAATCTCCCAAAAAGTGGAAGACCACGTGCATTTATTGCACAGAGGCCATGGTGATTGGTGATTGGAATGTCAGCGAGGAGACTGGCTCGTCAATACAGATCTTGTAAGAGTACGATATAGGCGGAATTGAGGAGGAATGGTCTTAAATATAGAAAGCGATGTAAGTGCCTCAAATACTCTCAAGCGGAACTTCCTCGGACTACGTAGAAGAATGTCTTGACAATGTTAGATATACACATAGAGCGAAATTTGCAGATAAAATCCTTGTCTGTTGCGCAATTTATAAGAGTGGTTTATCCAGACCTTTTGTGGGAAGAGTGAGAAGTGAAGCTTTGAATAGTCAGAGCTATATTGATAACTGCCTTTCCAAATTGCTTCAGTTTGTCCACTAACATCATGCTAACGAGGATATTATGTTTTGGCCAGAACTAGCATAATACAATTACTTACATTACGTAATAGGACCCATAATGAAAAACCAAAAAGTCAAAACTGAGAGAATTTTTGGGCATTACTGTCTAAAAAGGTTTATCACTGGATGATGGGAAGCCCAAGATGAAAACAATTAAGGCGGCGAACTTACGAAAAAATTTTTGTTATTTATGGTATAGCGCCAACTACAGGAATTTTATTTTCCTTGTGGATGAGAGAAATTAATCTGAATTCCGTCCAGGATCTCATGAGAGATATTCGAAGACATTTGCATCTGATAGAGCAGAATGGGCCACTCCACATAATTCGAGAGTATATTTTAGTTAAGTATTGATTTTTCATTTTATGATAACAATGTTTAAATAAATTTCTTCATTAAAAAAATCCGATAAATATTTTGTTATAAGACTTTTAGAACATACGTTAAAGGATTTAGTGTCCACCTATGGCATCTAGCTTGATAGTTTAGAAAGTAACTGAATAGTTACTTCAAAATTTTGTAAATTTATTAATGTGAGAACTTACTACCAACCTTTGGTCTATTGAAATACCTTTCAATGATTAAATGATGAATTAAATGTATCTGGCAATTTTCTGACTGGAAGGGAAAATTGGGAGCGAAAAATGGAACGTTTGTGTTCAATATCATTTTCCATAAAGATGTTGACCACAAACCAAATTTTTCTAGGAATCGCTCGATTTTATCTTTTGACGTTAGAATGTTTTCTTCTTTCCCTTTAAGGACCTTGTTTAAAATATTTAAGGGGTTGAAAATATCATCGAGAAATGCTAATCACCTCAATAAAATCAGACAACGAAGACTGACATTTCTGCGAAAATGTTAATAAAGGGCAGACTACACGACCATATATTTTTTCTGCAAATGGCTTGCCTTTCTAAATAAAGGGTTATTTTTGTAACGTATTAGATGAAAAAATCTCCCTAGAAAGTTAACTAATTTCGACAAATGTATTGGCATTCTAAAGTTCTACAAAAAATCTTGTATATACGCCTAAGGACCGTGCTACACAACGTAGAACAGTTTCGATATCCAAGTGTTTGAATGAATGTTTCAACCTGTGTTAACAATTATCTATAATTTAATACAAACCTTTCTCCGTCTCTAGCAGATCGTAACGTATCCGACAAACAAGCCCATTCGTCTTCTGCACTGGCGTATTGTTTGTAGACTTTAAAATACTCTGAAGGTACTCTCAGAACAACTTCTAAATTTTTCTTAAGTCTCTCGAGAGTCATTCTTTTGTCTGCCAAAATCTTACAGCACCTGTAAAGCGAGTACAAATTAATAGCCGTTTCTACATACTCTCAATATTTACAAAATTTTATTTGATACTTCTTTAAATGAGCTAAATATAATAATGTCTAAAACTTATGTGGTATTATCTTTAAAGCAGAACTCCATGTGAACTATGGAGTAACTCAGTGCAAAGTATTGGGACTCCATGTGAACTATGGAGTAACTCAGTGCAAAGTATTGGGACCGTTATTATTTAATATCTATATAAATGATATGTACAACTAACAAAGTTTAGGAGATAATCAGTTGTGCATATGATACTGCAGTATATTAAAAATATTCTACCTGGGAAGAATTACAAAGTAAAGTTGAATTTGATAGCTACTTTCAGTGAAATGTTCACGTACAAAAATGAATTATTAAAATGAATAATAAATATTATTTAATAATTATTAAATTAATTATTTAATAATAAATAATAAACTATTGCTAACTCATGCAACAAGATATAAAGTGGGTTCGCAACTAGTGCCACGCATTCATAAGATCGCAGGACAGCGCTGTCAAACATTTTTAGGTTCCGGACTATTTAATAAACTGCCAGTGGAACTAAAAGCCTTGAATTCATTTAGAGGATTTAAAAAGAAACTAAAACAATATATTTCAAGTTCAAATAGATACATGGTACTTATATTAATAGGTATTATTAAAAACAAACTTTAGAATTTTTAAAGTGCTATCGTTACTATAACTTTAAATGAATTATCCATAATATATGTTATCTTAGCAACATAGTATTGGCATATCTTCTTCAAGTGCCATCTCCGCGGCAGAGGTCGGCAATCATCATAGCTATTCGGAGTTTTGAGACGGCTGCTCTGAAAAGTTCATTTGATGTACATCCGTATACTCGGTTCGCTATTTCCAGTCCCAACTGTCTAGTGAATTTAGTAATTATTTTTTTGCGAAGTTAGTTCTTTTTTGACAGACTGAGAGTGGCTGGAAATTACTATGCAAACAAGCACACGTACTCATAGCCAATATTAATAGTAAAAAAACTAAATAGTAAATAAAATAGAACTTTACGAATTACCGACAATCAATATTTATTTATCTGCACCATATAATAAATAGTTACGTTAAATTATAACAACTAAAATATTTTTAAATATATACTACCCAAAATTTGATGGGTTTAGTATACACTTCCACTATTAAGAACAATTCTTCTTTTTTTTCAAAGAAAGAAGTCTGCAAGAGTAGTATACTTGAGCTATTAATACTGAGAAGTAGGAATTGTTGTGTTGTAGGTTTCTGACAATGAATATGTCAAAATATGCCCGAGCTAAGCGAATGGAGTATACCACTCTCTCGGTACATATCGCATTTAAGGTCCAAGATTCCATTCCATACAATAAAGTCGAAAAAACATAGCACCTCGCCAACATAACTCTTAGTTCCAGTTTTAAGTTTCCTGATACATAGCACTCTTTTCATTTTGTTGAAATTTGCTCTAGCCTTTTCTATTTTTATTTTGATTTCCTGATTGTAATCATTTGTGGAGTTAATCATTGTTCCCAGATTGTTGTGATTAATAGTTTTCAAGATCCTCGATGATATTGCAACGGGTTTTAGAAGAAGAGGATTATTTGATAATAAGGCTAAGACAGTCAAAGCGATACGAAGGCGACGGCGGCACGAAGGAGACACCAATGCGACAGCAGTGACGACAGAATCAATGTCTGCAACGCGAATACTACCGTTGTCGTTGTCATGGTTACGGATCACGTGCGTAGTATGAAGTCATGTTTTTATATGCTTTACTGAAAGTCGCGGTGCTGATCGGTGCGTGGGCACTTTTGGCCATCTTATCCTGCTATAGCCTAGCATAATGGCAAGCATAATGACTTAATGTAGTCATTTTGATATTATTCGCTACGAGAGTAAATTATTACAAAGAGTTGTTAATTAAAGGTAACTAACTGTTTTTTATATATATATATATATATATATATATATATATATATATATATATATATATACTGTAACAGTCGTGATATAGGTAGTAAAGAAGTGTACATTTAAGTCCAGATAATTAGACTTGACTAAAGTTATGCTAGTTTAGTTGATTTTGTTGTCTGAAAAGTATTGTGCTCATATGATGACAGTGTGAATAAGTGAACTAAATTAGAGGTAAGTTAGTTTTTGCGATGGATATTATAAAATAATTAATTTGCTATTTTCTTCAAGTACTAGTGCTTCAAAATGAGCAGGAGAAAGCCACTTACATATAAAGAACTGCTTCAAGAATTGGAACGTAACTTGTCGGACGTTGAATGTTTATCAGATGACGAAGACGAATTGTGGGAAATACAGAGCAATACAGGAAAAGAGGTCGTCCTTCCAATGACTTTGAACAGCCAATTTCCAAAAGAACTAAGGTAGAAGTGCGCCCAGTAAAGGAAGTTCTTGATATAAGACATCTACCCAAAGTAACAGAAAAATTTTCCAAGTGGAAAAAGCCGGGATGTAAAGGCAAGTCAAAGTATACCTGCTGCAAATGTAACATTCATTTGTGCCTGGATAAACAGAAAAATTGTTTTTTTGATTACCACACATAATACTATTTGTAATTCACTGCAATAAATTTACTACAAGTTTGAGTTTCTACCATTTTATTTCCTCTTATTCACAATGTCTTCGTATGGAGACAACCCCTAACTCGTTTAAGGGTAAACAAAAAATTTAAAATTACATTTAAAAATCTTAAAAAAAAATAAACAAAAATGGTATCAACAGAATATATTTTTTGTAATACGAAATAAGTCGTGAGCGAAAGAGTTAATTTGAACTTTTTTGTAGAAAACAAAATTACTCGGATTTTTACCAAAGATAAAACGTACCAATTTTGATATTATTCGCTACGAGAGTAAAGTATCACCGATAGTTGTTAAATAAAAGTAACTTAAATCTTAAAATAACTCATAATTATCATAATAACATCTGATGTTATTATGATATGAAGCTGATGATGAAGAAATGGTTGTTAATAAGAACCTTTTTGGAGAAAATCAAAATTACTCGGATTTATATCAAAAGTAATTTTGTGATTTTACGATGATAAATTAAATAAAAAGACTTAAAATCAATTTATTCTAAAACGGACGACCGGTTTCGCATACTACAATTTACTATGCATCCCCATGTCTCCGGTACGACAAATTAAATGATGCCGATACAAGAAATGTTCTTAAATGTACGTGGAACAGTGGGGCACCCAGGGGGGTTTAAGGGTTAATCTACCTCTAAGGGCATATAAAGTAAAAAAAATATAGGTAAAGTATAGTATTAAAATATAACTTGTCTTTTTCATACAATATAAAAAATCCAAAACGCCAATTTAATAAGTAAATTACCTGTAACGACCTGTACATGTGAAAGGATATTTTCATCGCTGAAAGTACTGAAGACTTATTTAAGAAATTATATTAGCGAAGGTTTTATTGTATTATATGGTTTAGCTTTGATTTTTATCCATCAGGACATTCAAATAGATGAAGAAGAGGTAAGAAGCCATATGGCTCTACTAGAGCAACGCCGCGTCGTTTAGATATTTTATTATAAATTTAATTTGTGTACAAATTATTATTTAAAATACAGTTAATACATTTATAAATTTTTATTTATAATACATTTAAATTAATATTTTTCATTATATTTAGATATAGATACCTAATATATACTTTTTTTTAGCCCTTTTCTCTATTCGGATTATCGAATATAGGTCTCTCTTAATTCTCGCCATTCATCTCTGTTGTTTGTAAGACGTTTCCACATTGGCCCTGCAGTTCTTGTAATATCGTCGCTCCATCGCATTTGCGGTCTTCCTTGTGGTCTTTTGGCTTCATATGACCGCCAATTTCTTTATTCCATCGGCAATCCGTAAGACGGTCGTTACGTGCAGCCCATTTCCATTTCAGTTTAGTTGCCTGTTCGACAGCATCTTTTACTTTTGTTCTATTACGGATGTCTTCATTTGTTTTATGGTCTTTGAGTGAGATAGCCAGCATCTGTCGTTCCATAGCTCTCTGAGTTTTTCTGATCTTCTCTATGTTTATTTTAGTGAATGTCCAGGTTTGTGCTCCATATGTAAGCACAGGTAGGATACAGGAATTAAACACTTTGATTCGCAGTCTTTGAGGTATATTTTTATTTTTAAGTACGTATGAGAGTCTTCAGAATGCTGCCCATCCCATTTTTACACATCTGCTTATTTCGGTAGTCTGATTTTTTTTGCTTACCTTGACATTTTGACCCAGATATGTATATTCATCTACGTGTTCTATCTCTGTCCCTTCGATGTTTATCATAGGTTTGTTATCTTTGTTTGACATTAGCTAAGTTTTGCTGAAATTCATTTTCAGTCCTTTTTTAAGGATTCTGTGTGCAGCTCCTCAATCATCGTATTTAGTGCATTCCACGTGTCGGCTATTAGTACTACATTATCTGCGTATCTAAGATGGTTCAAGTATCTTCCGTTAATAGGGATTCCCTTATTTTCCCTGGAGATTTTATTCGTTAGTCTTTTCTATTGGGATTTTTGTGTATAGATGGTCACAGGTGCTTTACCCTTTTCTAAATCCGGCTTGTTCTACTGGTTGATATCCGTCAAATTTAATTGTTAACCTGTTTGTAATAATATATGTAAAGGTTTTGTAAAGTTGTGAAAGAAGTGAAATTAGTCGATAATTTTTCAGATCTGTGGTGTCTCCCTTTTTGTCTATTAGTATTGTTTTAGCAGTATTCCATTGTTCGGGTATGTTACCTTGGAATAGACATTTATTAAATAAAATGTGACGATGAGTCCAAGCCATCACCGTTAAACCAGCGTGCGCGCGAACCAACCCATGAAGTAGGAGTGTATCGACAGTAGAAAGGGCAAAACTAATTACCAAGCTCCGCTATATAAACCGCAACATTTCCTCATAGAGGCAGAATCGACAGGTGTTGACTGAAGGTTCTCTTCTTCCCTACCCCGGCTTGTGGACGTGTTGAGTTCACAAGTTGTTTCGTCCCATACCGCCGTTACCCGAAGAGCGTGTTGAGCTCTTCACTACCCGTACTCTGAAGCAGTCGTGTTGAGACTGTCGAGGAGTGTACTGTTAACCCGAATCACTTAAGGGACGTGTTGAGTTCCTTTCCTCTCTTTGTACCTATCGTCCGCTGTTATTAAATGGATACAACGTTCCCGTAAAATTTCAAATACACACTCGCTTGCCGATAAGACTAATTTCATATGACAAGGTCAAACTTAATTTGAATAAATAGGCCAGGTACTGAGAAGACTAAACCAAATTGTAAATATGTACGTAAGATTTTTGTCAATTTAATTTAAGGAAGACAATAAAGTTTTATTTTTGTTTTGAACTCTGTCTCTGACTGTTTAAAAGCTACCCGGATAGTGACTCCTACGAGAGGACATCACAAATATTTTTAGATATGTGATGGCTTTTACTCCGCCTTCCTTCAGCATTTTTGCTAGAATTCCATCGCTTCCAGGAGCTTTATTCCTTTTTATTTCTTTTACTGCTCTTTATCTAATATTAGGCTCATGATAAAAGTAGAGAGAACGAGTCTGTTGCGAGTAGCATGTGTCTACAGTACTGTATCTGCGGCTGCCTTGTGGACTATCACGAGTTGTGTTCCTCTGTAAGTTTTAGCAGTAGAAAGGAACATTTCCATGAGAGAAGAGAAGGGAGCATTTGACAACAGCCATAAAAAAAAGTGATAGATCAATGGAAAGATTACAAGAAGAGTAAAACAACACGGAAGATGTTGTCCAGTGGACTAAGATGCTGATCCCGAGCCTAAGAAACTGGTAGATTGTCTGTTTTAAATGCCTATACTGCGAATATTCTGATACTGTTGAACTGAAAAAATAGGTATGAACCATGTGCCTGTGAAAGAGATGATCGTGAAGATGACGGAAAGTAAGGAGGGAAGAAATAGTGTTCACAAATAAATTCGAACAGCAATTTAAAAAAAAAGAAGAAGAGAAACACCAACCAGACCAATGACAGATAAGATCTAGATAAGAGAAATGAGTGTTCCAAAAAGGTTCAACTTATACTTTCGTTCTTTACTGAATGATTAAGATAAGACAATTTGAAAAAGAAATACGCATTTCAAATTTTTCTGCGAATTTTTGTAATTGTCATTCCAGGTTGGTTTTTCTCAAAATTTGATAGTGAATGGTGGAAAAATAAAAGTAAGGGCCTTACTAACATTTTTTTTGTGATCCTATTCCTTTACATATTTCCTAATCTTCTATATAGTCAAATCACAACTAAACGTTTTGGTAGATTTAAACTTTTTTAACGTTCGCCATTATGGAGGACGAAATTCCTCCTGACCGGCCACCAGATCCTGACCCTAATGAGTATTCGTATCATAACAGGATGTATGAGATCTACCCGTATTCATGAATTGTTAGGTGAAAGTGGTCAAATTCCTCTCAAGTACAGATGGGAATGGCGTAAGTCTAAATTCCTCCTAAAAAATCTTATGCTAATTAATAATCCAATAGTTTCTGCCTTGAATCAATTACATATATCAATGCAATCAAATCATAATTACTGAAATAAAAAAGTATTCCCCTCTTAGTTTCCATGATGAATAAATTCCAGCATACCCCAAATTTATTTTCTAGTGACTTATTTCCGTGCCACAATATTGAATTAGAATATCAATTAACTTCTATCAATTATATTTGAAATTCAATTTCAAAGAATCTCACTTGACAATCCACTTCACACTATAATCTTTATAGATGGGTCAGTTGATAGTAAGTGCTCAGCAGGATCTGGTGTTTTTTGTCCTGACTTTGAATACTCATACTCTAGTAAACTCCCTACGCAGACTCAAGTTTACATTGCAGAGATTATTGCAATTAATCATGCGGTTCAATTTGTTTGGAGAAGGATTTCAAGAAGGCCTTAATCTTGTCTGATTATAAGAGTGCTATCCAAAAGATAGGGAAAACATCTTACTCAATGGAAACTGAACATACCTCTATCATTACCAAAAGGGGCATTATAGAAGCCAATCAACAGAAAATCAGTATTATTCTGGCATAGATTCCAGGGCATTCGGATATTAGGGGCAATTGTGTTGCAGACAAATTGACAAACGTAGGAAGATAACTAAAAATGCCAGAAAAAGTTAAATTGCATTATTCAAACTACTTAAAAAGCTAATTTGGACTCGATGGACACAAGAATGGAATTTAAACAGATCAAAAGGGTCGTTTTATAGTAAAATAGTCAATAAATGAAACAAATCACCATGGTTCAATTAATTTTTGTATAAAGACAGAAGGCATATCACCACAGTAATTAGAATGAGAACAGGACATTACCCGTTCATTTATTCCGCATAGGTATTCGGGACAACCCATACTGGGAATGTGGTCAAATTGGATAAATTATCCCCTGGGATATTACCCAATAAAGGAAGAAGAAGAAGTGTTCCAAAAATGTCGTCAGCCTTACAGCGGCCATCTCACTTTCGGAGTACCGTACGTGTGACAGTTAACTGCGCACAAGTAGGAGAGGATCGTTTTAGCTGGTAGGCAGGATAACAGATACCTGAATCTTTGGCACTGCTTCTGGCATTTTTAGTAATTTAAATTAAACTAAAACCCAAATTTTAAGGACTCAAAATTTAGATAGCATAAAAAAATTGGTGCCCAACCAAACCCCCCCACCGGGGAAATTCTAGGTATGCCAGTGACGTGGAACCATACCTAAAGCTCCGTTAAAAGCTAACTAGCAGTTGGTGGTCATCGTGGTGGCTTTACAGCACTTTGACAAATATTGGGAAGAGATATATTTTTAAATGTTTGTTATTTATTTAAATTATTAATCGTATTTATAACAGACTTCACTGTAATAGGCTAGAATAAGAGAAAAGTTTTAATTTTACCTTTTAATAAAAGTTTGAATGTGCAAATTATCCAATTGTATGGGATATTGGTCAAATAGAGATCATATTTAGGTCTTTAGGTGGAGAATCTAATTGTAATGTCAGATGATAAAATAAGATATTTTTTTGTTGTCTTAGACAACAATAAATGTAATTAACTTTTAATAATATAACATCACAAGTATTTTTCAACAAACAGTTACATCAATAGTTTCCATTTTCTTGAATCAGCAACATTTCTTGTATCATCATCAATAAAACCGATGACCACCAAGCGTCAGTTAGCTACAACGGAACTTTAAGTATGAATCCACGTACATTTAAAAACATTTCTTGTATCGGTATAATTTAATTTGCCGTACCGAAGACCTACGGATGCACAGTAAATTGTATTATGCGAAAACGGTTTTCTGTGGTAGAACAAATTTATGTTGAAAGTATTTTTATTTATTTCTCTCTACATAAATTGAAATGGACTCACACACGCAACACTTTCAACATTTTTATAATTTGATTTACTTATTCAAAGTTTGATAATTTCACATTCAATGTATATATGCAATATGATAGTAGAGAAAAAACTATTAAACCCGCCTATAATAGTAAACAAATTTTAGTTTACCTTCAAATCAAAGTTCCCATTTACACTTTGCACAGTACATGATAGATATCTCTCAAGAACGATAGTAGTTTAATTCTTAGATATATTTAAATTCAAAGAATACTTTCCCTGGTGAGTATAACAAACGCTTGTACCACAGTTTACGTTTTACGTTTTAGAAATTCGGCTACAACACTCTGAATCTGAAGAATTTGGTTAATTTGGATATATTTAAGTCAAATTAAAACAAAATGTACATTACCTAGTAACATTATTATCCAAATTCGGAGTCTCACTGTTGTGCGTTTCACTGGTAATCTTAAAATAGTAATTCTGCGAGTACTGTTCTTCTTGCTGTGTATCAACATCATCCCAATTCATTTCCTCACCAGGGTGGCCTAGAGCTTCGTAACTATACGTGTCTTCACGAGGATCGCTGGGTGAGGACATGTGTTGATCTGCGGGTGATGTGGGACTACTCGATAACATGCCTATATGATCACCTATATAGAATTTTTTTTTAGATAAAAAAAATTAAAAAATATTAATCTTAAACAATCGATATTTTTAATCGCTTCAGAACAAATTATTGCCCTATTTTGGTGTAAAACAATGGTAAAAAAATTGTGACATTTCTGAACAATTCTATAGTATTTTATAATGCCTTTGCTTTCTTTTACCAATCCTATAAAACACATGGTACAATGTGAACATTACCTAACACTCTAGCAAACCAATTTGACTATTACGGAAAATCTTTTACCAAAAGCGTAACCATGCAACAAAATACCAGACAGACAATTACCAACAAATTCAACAAACCTGAATTATTATGAAATAATGTACAATATAGTATCTTGGTAAATGTACATATCCACAACAAATTGCCCAAAAATACTTCGGAGTCAGAAAATAGTGGTTCCATAGTTTAAATTGGAAAATATAAAGTGACAGAAATCCGAACACACATTATAAATTATTTCATTTTAATAATGACATACAGGCATATCTTGGTAAAAAATAAATGGTTAGAATTTCAGCCATACCAGTTTAGGTTTTCGTTTTTTTTTTTTTTTTAATTTGCAAACGACTAAAAATTTTGAAGTCTTAAGTTTATTACAGATCAAAATTTAGCGGCGTAGAGTTCTTGGTTTTTTGAAAATCGTTAGCAGTAACTAGACTACATTGCAGTAGATGGCCAACTTATAAATAATATTCAACATATAGACGATACCGTATTGCTGACAGATAGTGCGCAGGGGCTCCAAAGGACGTTGGATAATGTAGAAACATGTTACAAATAAAGACCAAAGCAACAACATAAACGCCCAAATTACAATAAACGATACACCGTTTGTTCAATTTTTCACATGCGAAAAAAATTGTTATATTTTTCCTCGTTATTAAAAATCACTACCTTAATCAGATCCTTAGTTCCTGCCGTAATTCCCCCTGCCTAATTTCAACCTTTCTCCTTTAGAGATATAGACAGTTTTGAACTAGCAATTTTTTTCTCTCTGATATTCGCTTGGAAACAGTTTGTTCTTCGCTCCTAACCACTAGTTACCATGCGATAAAATACCGCGAATCTCTCTCGACTGTTGACTCGTGTGGATAACTCTTGTGCTATAGAGAAAGAAACTGTTTTTCCTCTATCTATTGAGTTTGATTCTCGCAGATAGCAGCCACTTTTTCGACACTCTCTGATCCTAGTGTTCGTGCCAAATAGACGTGATTTTTCGGTCTTATCTCTCGCCTATTCACTCGCGTGGACAACAGACGTACTCTCCGCCTCTCTTAGTGATAAAAATTAGTTATCAGAAACAGTATCGTGAGACTTGTTAAAAACCGGTAATTTACGAAAGACTAAGACACGTGATAAAAGCTTCTAATTCGCGACATACAAGCTCGTACGGGAAACTATGCATGGGAACTTTGCCTATATGCGGACATTTCACGTGATTAAAGCTACGAAATAAAAACTCTTAGTCAAAAAGCCAGAAAGTCTTTTAACAGTCTCAGGAAGATCCTCTGCAACTTCTATTTAAGTATCAATATACGCATAAGAATGCTTAGATGTTACGTCTATAATAGTGTCCTCCTCTACGGAGTAGAAAGTTGGAGTCTTACAGAAGATGTCATAAAATGGTCTCAGGTATTTGAAATGTCTTGCTACTGATGTATGTTAAGGGTCTCAGGTCTCATATATACAACACCACACAACTAACACAACTACTCTCCAGTGGCTAAGAAAAGACAAAGAAATTATTAACACATCAGAAAACTGGTTGGCCAATCTTAGAAAATACACTGGACTAACGTCAACTGCAGTATTTTGGGCTGCTATAAATAGAATAAGGTGGGTCAATGTGGTCATCAACATCATTAGAAGATAGTCACCTTTAGAAGAAGAAGAGTACAAAGACGCGCAAATTTCCATCAATTGAGCGAGTTTGATAGGGGCGGATAGTTGGCCTAACGAAAGCCAAACTTTCTTTTCGGATAATTGCGAATAAGGGTTAGAAAATATCGAGGGGCACAAGGCGGCGCCGAAGAACAACAGAGCGTCAAGATTGTCGCCTACCAGATCTATTGCAAATCAATGTTTTACAGAACATGAAAGACCAATGGGGATGCGAGTTTTGGCCTTTTTCATTTCAGTCACACTGGGTGCTACATCTTACCCCTGAACTTGGGCGCAATCGTCTTGAATAATGCAGAGAACGATTTACTTGGAACCAGAAATAAAATTGACACAATCTTTTGTCAAACGGCACAAGGGAGCTTTTCTCCCTTGTGAAAAAAACACATGACGGTCTAGTACGTTGTCGATATTAAGCCTGCATCGAGCGGGTATTGAAATTTTGAAATGGTTAATATTCAGCACGCTCCATGTTAACACGTACTAGCTTGCCGTGTTCTTGTGATTCTGCAAGAGCGAAAAGCCATTTGTTTATTGCCTGTTAACTCAATTTTTACTTTTACATTTTTACTCATGTTTTACAGCTTAAAATTTTTAATAGCTTTTAAAATATAAACTTTTTATATTATAATATAACATATATAGGTTTTTAATGTATTTTTAGCAGTACTTTACGACGGGACAAGTTGTAAATTAAAATATTCAAATTCGAAAATTTATTTATAAAAAATTGTTTATAAAAAATTGATATCACTTTTTGAGATCGAGAAACTATACATTCGTATTCAACGAAAAGTTTACATAAAATAGAAAAGTTTTTAACTATCCACCCTTCCATGCATACAGACAGGTACCCTGCTGGCGGACTATTGGCAGCAAGACTTAGCAGTAGTAAATAAAAGATCTAGTAACTTATTAATGCGGATATCGTGTTAATGCCGAGAATATTGATATTATAGAAAATAGTTCGAAAAGTTTATAAGGCAGGTTTGGGTACATTGTGATATAAACATAACTGTCAATAAAATAAAATTTCTGATATTCCCACGAAACCAAATAATAATGATCAAGTCATTAATGCTAACCCAAACATCGAGCATGTACACAAATATAACTATCCTAGAATTGGAATAAATCAGAATAATAACTCCCCTATGTAACTGTGAAGAAACATCCTTTCAGCAAATGCTTACCTGGGGTTTCTCCTACTAACGTTCTATCACTGTCACTTAAACTGCTATCTTCGCTATTGCTTTGATCGCCAAAACCGTCCCCAGGACCGGGCTGAGGAGATACCCGCAAGTTGGGCGAATTCGTACATCTATCACCACTACCCAACTCCAATTTGTCTAGATTTTGATTTAAATCCAACGATGGTATGGACATCGATTCAAGTGTAGCTAAAAATTAATATAAGCAAATAAAATTCAATAAAAATAAAAATGAGATACAAAATTAAATCCTTTCAATGTATTTTTGCGGGTGGTTCAAATATGTTCAGTACTGAACAAAAAAATAATAAGCAGTCATGTTTCTTTGACCTTTACGAATGTTATCATGACTGACATGACACCAGGTTTAGTCTTTGACATAACTCTGATTGTAGATCGCATGAAATCTCATATATGACAAATCCACAAGACAGACGAACAACATTTTGAATTAGAAACCGTAGAAAATCGGTAACATAATTCAACAAGCTGAATAATTTAAGCAATCAATGTTATGTTGCAGTGGCAACTCAAAACCTGGCCGCAGAAAAACCATGATCTATTTATGCAAAACATATCCAGGTAAATCTCCTTTTGCCCCCAAGAGATTGTTTCGAAAAATATCACACTGAGAAGAGCTTTAAATATAGGTGTATTTTTAATAAATAAATAAACATTGTTATAACGTTATGCTCATAAGTACCAAAGCATTTATTAAAAATTTATGGGAAAAATGATGCAAAAAAATTATTCATTCAAGGTAATCACAATTTACGTTAAGAAGAATATAAAAAGATTTTTATATTATCGTAGTACTTAATATATTTTCATTAGAAGTACCACATAATTTTTTTATAAAACAATTAATAAAGTAACCATAAATAAATAAACATATTAAATTGCATAACTAAAAGAGGTTCGACCTTTCGGTATTGCAAAATGTACTGCAATATGTATATGCAGTATTGCGAGATTTTGTAAACGAATCTATGAAAATTAACACCTAGAATTACTGCAAACACTAACTAGCATGAACTATACGAAACCAGGTATTTTTGCCTCCATACTCCCTCCCACCTGGTATACGATTGGAAGCTAGATATTCATTCACTAGTATATCTGCATGCGTGTAAGCATGCATAAAAAAGAGCGACCACATAGATATTCAAAACTACCGTCCGAACAGTCTTCTTCATAAGATATACGAATTGTTCATAAAGATTCTAACAAGGGGATTAACTCTTTATCAATCTGTATCTCATCTGCAGCTGCGCGGAAAAGCTGCACAGATGTTGTATTGAACCACATTCTGGTTTTAATATGTGTTACAAAACAAAATAATTGCTGCACTAGCTGAGTGCAAACGGTAAACTTCACACTGATATTACTAATGGAACAGAGTACGGAAGTTGATAACATCTCATCAAATATGTTTACAAGGTTGTTGCAAGATATTTTTAAAAAAACTTGAGTGGGAGATTATGGAAATCAACATCGATGGCGAAAAATTAAAAGACTTACACTTCGCTGTCGACATCGTGCTGATTTTAAATATCCTCAAAGAAGCCTGAGGTTTATTTAGTACATTAACCGCTGTACCAACCGGGTTAGGTATAAAAATTAAGCTTAAAATGACCTAGTATAACAAACTTACAAGTCAAAATAAAGTATAAGTAAAAATAACCAAACCTGCGAAATTAAAAGATGAACAAAGCATGTTTCAGCAAACTGAGAAGTAAGATATTTAAGACAAGTTACACTGGACCTATCCGTTATCCTAGTATATCGCAGCTTCGCACTTCTTATAGGGCCTATCCGTTTCGGATGTAAGCGAGCATCATGGCAATATGTACTTTGCACACTGCTGCTATGAAAATATTTATGGTTGTTGTGTTGAACCACATGCGTAGATTTGTGAGCCAGGAAAAGCTTCGCCTTCCTGAGCATCGTTTTCCCTATACTGTTTCCTGTAAAATTAGTTGCATCAATCCATATCTTTCCCTGTTACTCATGATGTGACCCAGATATTCGATTTTGGTTGTTTTTATTGTGATTAACTAGCATCGCGCAGTCTACAATATATTCGATATTTCAAGATTCTACAAAAAGAGTATACAGAAGACTGCATAAAAGTATTTATCAAACTGCGAATCAACAGCAGGCCAAAAACTATTTTTTCAATACTTAATAAATAATAAATACATGATAATCAGTTGCGAAGTAATAATAATAAAAAATAGACCTTACCTACATCAGTATCCGGTAAAACAATGGTCAAACTAATAATGTATCCAAACAAAGATATCAACCGTTTCAATTTGGAAAATAGGAACGTTTTTTCTGGGTCTTCATCTAAAGCGTTTGATACATACAATTTGTAATTGCTGCAATTTGGATCAAATTTGACAGAGATCTCATCATTATCCAAATACTTTGGTTCGTTGCAATACATTTCCATGACGATTTTTACTGTAAAAATAGAAATAAATAATGACACATCTTATAGAAATTATATTAAAAGTAAAAACACTACAATAATTTAGAAAATAATAATTATTTATAACAAGTATACTGAAAATAATTATATTTGAACCAGTCATTAAACATTAGTCACAAAATTTAATAAGATTTGCTTATAAATGTCGAAGAAATATCTGACGACAACTATTAGCAAACACTTTTTAAGTGGTAATTTCTTCTGTAACTTATGTAGGGTTGGACATCTAAGAAAGAAACATACAGCACATGTAATGCTGCAGATATTAAATATTCCATTTGTATCATTATATCAAGCGTTATTAAAAATGTAAACCCAAAATCTAAAGTATTACTGAACAGTAGTGGGGCTTTACCAACCCTTGAATTGAATTTTTCTTTTAAATTTCTTAGCATTTTTTTTTTGTTAAAATTGCTTTTGGGGTTCTAAGTTAATATCCAGGAATACGAAAATCAGGATTTACAAAACGATTGTGCAAACTTAGGTTATGTATGGCAGCGAAACTTGGGCGTTAAGTCAGAAAAATACACAAAAATTGGAACGATGGGAAAGAAAGATATTACGCAAGATATATGGAGGAACAAAGGACAATGGAGGCGTATGGAGAAGAAGAACACATAGGGAAGAAATGGAGCTCTACAAACATAATACAAAAATTAAAAGCACAAAGCACGTTGGATGGAACATGTTTACAGGATATCTATAAACAGACATGGAAAAAAGCATTAACAGGAGAGGGTTGAATGCGCAGGTGAGGAAGACAAAAAAGCAGTGGTTAGAAGAGGTTAAAACCGATGTAAGAAAACTAAGAATACCGGCCTGAAGAGGTGTTAATATATTATGCTATTCAATAAAATAATAAGTAAATCAGCCAAATCATTTTATCAGTTGTCAGAAGAATATCCTGGCTTAAGAACTTAAGGGAATGGTTTGAATGCAGTAGTGCAGAACTTTTTAGAGCGGCAGTCAACAGAGTCCGCATAGCCATGATGATTTCCAACCTTCGATAGAAGATGGAACTTAAAGAAGAAGAAGAACACGGTAGGACGAGAAATGTGACTAAAAATTAATTGTTCTAAAACAAAATGAATGGTACTGTGCTTACCTTAAAAATACCCAATTACAGACAGATGGACAACCAATATAAACAGTATCCAATCTTAAATACCTAGGTTGTTATATTACCGGACAATTAGATACAGATAAAGAGATAAAATGTAGAATTGAAATGACTCCCGCAATTTTTTTAAGAGTGAGGTCACTCTTCTGTAACGGTCACTACTTCAATTTCGGAAACGCATGATTAAATATTACACATAGACAGTTATATACGATTTCGAAGCATGGTCCTTGACAATATATACTATTACCCTCTTAGTGGCTTTTGAAATGTAGTTATATAGACGAACACTAAAAATACTGTGGATAACTAAGCAGACAAATTAAGCAGTTGGGTGGCTAGAAGGAGTACTTGAAAAATCGGCTATAACTTACAAACTAATTAAAATATCAAAAAACCATTTCGATAACATTTACAGAAGTACAACCAAAAGATTAAAAAAGCAAAACTTTTTAAATTTCGCTGCATTTTAAACTTTTTCACGTGATTTCAATTGACTATATCCATATGTTCATACTTTTTTGTAGGATATAATTGTGCCTTGACTTGGCTATGATGATCATTATCTTATCAAATTAAGCATTATTAAATAAACACTTAATTACTTACCTTTGGAAGGATTCATATTCAATAACTGGCCAATTTTTTGTTTGAGGTCAAACACAGTGTCGTTTACATCAACTCGGACTAGCTTTGGTTCACTGACCTCTTCTGTTTCAAGGATGATAGGATAAACTTTCATATTGATACCACCGGGTTGGTATGTTTTCCAGGAAGTTCCTAAAATGAACAATTTTATTGGTTTAACAATTACCCAATGTTTCTTATTACACAATCAAAGGCATTGGTTAAGATATTTTACTATTTGCATAGCTTTAAAATACTTGATTCGCTTTAAAAATTCTAAAGAACAACTAAAATACTAAAATACAACTAAAAAACGTCTCGATCCTCTGCTACATGGAATAATTGTCCTGCATTTGGCATCTGAGTCCATTCACGAATGTATTTTTAGCCAAGCAACTGTTTTCTTCCTATATTTCTCCGACTTTCTATCTATATCGATTTCAGCTAAACATCATTTTTCAGTGTTCAACAGTCTACTTTACTAATTTTACATCTTTGTTGACCCTCCTTAGCACTTCCTCTTCAGTATTCCCTGCCGTCCAAGGTAGAGATGTGTAATACTGTGTTGAATGGTACTCTCGTATTGACACTTTAGAGTGTGTCAATCGTATTGATACAGTTAAAATGACACAGTGACACCTATGACACAGTTTAACACACCAATACAGCGTATTAAAATACATAGTTTGTGATACAGTGTCTCAGTGTCGTACGCAGTGTAGACTTCAGTCGACACAGTCTCAGTTTCTTTTTCGTTAATCTTCGACACGCATCCAATAAATTACAGCTCACAAATTTAATTATGTAGTATGCGTTGTTGGCGCGAGTATATTTGTAAAAAAACCTGCTCAAAAAAACGAAAGTTTATAGTCGGCAAACAAAAGAATGAACAGAATACAAGAAATTCATTTTTGTAATAAAGTTGGAACTCCCGTGAAATGCCCCAGAATTGTTTTACTATTACTATAGGTCAATAGCTATGAACCAATTAGAATAAATATCAAATATCTACAATTAAACAAAAGATCACTTCATGCAATAAAAAAGTGACTTAAATATACCAATGTTATTTTGATAGCGTATGTTAAAGAAATTACATCCTGACGCAGTGTTTCTGAACTATGCAACACCTAATACTGAAACACTGTGTCATGACACTTCATTGTGCTGATACACTGTACTGATACAGGCAGCTGTGTCAGTGTCATTGTATCCACACTCAAAAATTTACGGTGTTACCCATGACTAGTTCAAGGTTTGACATCCAACTGTAGATCCACATTTTTAATGCTTCAATTCGGTTCGTGCTTGATAATTTGTTTCCACACTTCAGCTCCATATAAGAGTAGGTACATACCAAACATGGCACTTAATCATTATTTGTCTTAGTTAACTGATATAATTATTAAAAAGTAATGTCTTCATTTTCAGAAAAGTAGTTTAGTCTATTCTATTTTGCGTTTTATGTCTGTATGTAGTTGAAAAGTTATAACAGTAATAAATATGTAATTTTGTGAACTTTTTTAACTAGGACTCCGTTTAATTGAAGCTCTGCATCTCGATGTGGGTTACGGCTAAAGAATAAAAATTTGGTTTTATTTGAATTTATTTAAATGCCCATTACCTCTCCTACTTCGTGAATAAGATCAAGCAGAATTTGGAGATCTTTAATTTTCTCTGACAGGATTACTTTATCGTCGGCATATCTAATTAAATAATTCCCCGTTGATTTTTATTCCATATAGCTGTCACTCAAGTGCTTTTCTAAAATAAATAGTCAGACTAAACATTGTACAAAGATTCTTAATGACACGAATATCTTTATCGTATATTCCTGTATTTTTTAGCATCTGCATTAATTTTACATTATACAGTAGAACCCTGATTATCTGTGCTTCACGGGACCGGGCGGTGGCACGGATAATTGAAATGCACGGATAATCCGAACATTTTTTTATGCATATGTACATTGTACATACATGCATATATACCTATCATAAAAAGATAAGAGAAAAAATCAAACTCATAAGTTCAAACTAACGTTTATAGTACATAAAAACATACATAACAGAACAAAAAACAGATTTCTACCAAAATAAATTTTTATATTACGTAATAAAAATAAAAACTACATAAAGGGATTATATATTTTAGATGGCTATGCTTTTGAAAAAAAAAATCAGTCACTTTAGCCTGTGTTAAAAGTTTTCGATTTTTTATAATTTTCTGACAAGTTTAAAATATCGACAAAGTCTGAAGATTCTTGTTGCTCAAGTTACAACATTGACAGCTTCCTCAGCCTTTTGGTTAGTTATTCTGTTGGTTAATAACGTTCCATCATTGTCTTCATCTTAACTGTCATTTTCGGATGAATCAGGTTGTGACGTACTAGGCTGATGGGAAACCAGTTTTTCATCACCAGTGACAATTTCATCGTTGCTGAAGAGCTGATAGCCTGACTCATTTCTATGACACTCTGTCCATCTCTCAACCTCGATTTCATCAATTTCTTCAAACATATCAGCGTTGCGCACTAGTGCAGTTTATCATCATATTCCATGATACTTTCATCTTCCTCTAGCGTCATTATTTTGTAAAAAGCTCTTTTGATAGTGGTCTCTTTCACCCCATTCCATGCATTTGCCACTGTAAAAATTGCATCTTGTATGGTGAACGATTTCCAAAACTTCATCCAACAAGTTCATCATAAATTCTTTTCGGTATAGTCGTTTCCTTGTCTCAATAACAACTTGATCCATTGGTTGAGCAATGGTTGTAATATTAACTGGAAAAAAAAGAACAAAGAAATTTTCATTGTCAGATCTTAGGGTAGCTTCATTGGGATGAGCACCAGCATTATCCAGAAGAAAAACCGCCTTTTGTGGCAATTTTTCTATCTTCAAATATATCTTTACTTCAGGAATGAACTTTTCATGGAACCAATCTTTGAAAATGTCACAAGCTATCCAGGCAACCTTCTGCTTATAATAGTGAACTGGGAGGTTCTGTCGTTTCATAGTTTTAAAATCGCGAGAATTTTTTGACTCCAGCTTATAGCAGCATTCCACCATTGCTTCTCCATTGGCACTGAGCTTTTCGCCTTGGATGGTAAGCTCATGAATTCCGTACCGTTTTTTGAATCAATGTAACCAACCACTGGATGTATTAAAAGGTTCTTTGATTTTCAAATTTTTGTGAAAAATTTCCGCTTGCTTAGCACACATTGGTCCCAAAATTAGTACGCCCTTTTCTGCAGAAACCACTTGGAAAGCGCTTCATCGAGTTGTTGAAAAGTCGATCCTTTCAACGATTTCTGTGAAAATATGTTTTTAAAAGAGTCAGATTGAGATATAAAATGTTGTAGTTTTTATTAATATCGCGTACCAACTTCGTAGCTCCGTGATAATGATGTGACACTTTCACCCTTTTCACTTCTGTTTAAAATCTCTAGTTTTTGTTCAATCGTTAAAACACTTCTCTTTCGTTTAACACTGCTTGTTTACATTTTGAAAATAAAAACACGTTATAAGAATAATCAGAGTAGCGACTGATTTGTAGCTTCCAACTATGTATGTATGTAAACACTAAATCTCACACATTCGACGTAATACGTAGCCGTGGCGGCATATTATAAGCTACCGATTTCCAGGGATTCCCCGAGCACTGACGCTATGGATATTGCCATTATGCGCCTTTCTCACGGCGTAGTAATTTGCGGTGAAGTCGTTCTGGTAAAATGCCAATTCAATGTTAAGTAGCACGGATAATCCGCAGCCCGGATGATCCGCACATGGATAATTGGGTTTCTACTGTACTTTATCGAATCGATTCTTCTAAATCCCAGAAGCATGCAGACATCTATCCTTTAATCATGGCATTTTTGTAACAGGATATTTAGCGCAAAAACTAGATCCCATACCATGTTTAATACCAAATTGGGTTTCTTCAAAATCTTCTTTGCATTTGCGCCTAATTCTATTGTAAAGTATTCTTAGGAAAATCTTTTGTGGCTCATTAGGCTAATTAATTGATATTCTGAGCATTTGCTAGCATTGTTTTTTAGGAATTGTGACAAAGATGACTCCAGTATTACATATTGCATTAAAAAGTTTTACTGCTGCTATGTTATCTTCACCTATTAGTTTCAGCAATTCAATCGGTGCACATCTGGCTCACAATCTTTTCTAATTTTAGCATTTTTTATAGCGTAAACCTACTACCTTAACGTATTGAAAGAATTCCTTGAGTATATTTATTAATTTAAAATTTGTTATTTAGACTGTCGGGTTGGTCTCTTAAGGCTTTATTGGTGTAGTGTACTATTCCTTTTTAATGTCTTGTTTATATGATTCCATTGTTGTTATTGATTCCATTGTGTTGTTGATTCCATGATGTTAATATGATTCCATTTTATGCGTTCATTATATCAAACAAAGGACTGGCATTGCAGTATCTTGGTTTGTACTTCGTATATGTTTTCCCATATGTAATTAATATCCATCGTTTGGAAATTTAGTGCTTATTTAAATATTTTGTTTTTTGTTTGTTTGTTATTTTGTTATTATTTTTAATATTTTTAACACATGACCTTATTTAGTTATTAATTTTAATTACTTATTTCATTGCTCATCTTCTATACATTTTTCACGTTAAAATTGACTATATTCATATTTTTTATCAAATCTGACAGTGGCGGCTTTTCTTTATGTGCTGCTGAGCTGCAGAACTACCAAACAACCATAGCAAATCTTAATTATTAAAGAATAATTAATATAGTTTTATTTCAAATCTGCCATATTATCATATTAAACATAAACTGTTAATAATAATTCACCAACAACGATGATTAATATTATTTTTTTTACGTATTTACTCCTCTAGTGAAACCGTATAATTTTTTTACGTATTTGGTGCTCCAGTGAAGCAATCTTTTTACGTATTTGCTGCTCCAGTGAAGCCGCGTCGATAACAACCGAAACACTGGCAGCGGTAAAATGCATTTATTAGGCAAACGGCGATCTTAGCCGATGTGCTTCGGCAATCGGCTGATTAACGGCCTCGGAAATGTGTTTGCGAGCTGCAATTCACGACAGTTATTCGTGATCGTTGCATCTGTGCCGTGTTTAGAAATTCTTAGGTTACAATTTTGTTTAATTTGTTTTGTTCGAGCGTGTTTAAAACAATGGAGTTTCAATTTAAATTAGGTGTAAATAAATTTCAAAAACTTCACTATCAACAACAGTTGATTATAAAAGAACGTGGCCGTCCTATGCCTGATCTTAATATTGAAGTGTCCGGTAAAAGCCGTGGAAAAACATATACGCGTAAATTTAATAAAGACATGTATCTACGAAATCAGTGGATTTGTGGATGTTCCGAAAAAAATGCTTTTTTCTGTTTTCCGTGTGCATTATTCGGCGCAGATAAAGAGGAAAAATTGTGGCGCGAGACAGGAGTGCGGGATCTAGTACATTTAAGTGAAAAAATAAAGAAGCATGAAAACACGCAAACTCATATGAACAATGAAATGCGATTTGCATTATTTGGGAAACTTAATATACAGGCCCAACTTGACTCTGCTTATTGGATAAATATACAAAAACACAATGAAGAGGTGTTGCCTCTTCATTGAAATGATATTTTGGATTGCATGCTAGAAGTATACGCTGAGGAGATTTTAAACGAAATCAATGAAGCCCCATTTTTAGCAGTGATAGCTGATGAGACAACGGATGTTTCTATGAAATTTCAAATGGTCATTGTTTTTCGTTATGTAAAAAACGGTGCTCCAGTTGAAAGGTTTTGGACTTTTTTGCTTCCAGAAAAACATGATGCTGAAACCTTAGCTAACACAATTTTGAATGTTTTAGACCCAATATTAAAGAATAACAAAAATAAGCTCATTGCACAAAGTTATGACGGAGCAGCTGTTATGAGTGGGATACATGGCGGAGTGCAAACAATAATTAAGAGAAAATATGAAACTGCTCATTTTGTGCACTGTTACGCCCATCAATTGAATCTAATAATGTCAAGAGCATGTTCTATTAATTCCCAAGTACGCGTATTTTTTGGAGATTTACATGATATACCTGGATTTTTTAGTCATTCACCTCAAAGAATAGCTGTCTTAAATCAAATAGTTGGAAAAAATATTCCTCGTTCAATCCCTACACGCTGGAATTTCAATATTCGTACAGTAAATGTCGTTTACGAATATAGAGACTTTATTATTGAGTGTATGGAGCAACTAGAAGAAGAGTCAAATGCTATTACTTCCAAGGAAGCAAGAGGACTTAGACGTATTCTGGAAGATCAAAATTTTACTTTCTGGCTGACTGTTTTTCATTATATTATGCCACATGTTGACGTTTTGTACAATAATCTTCAAAAAAAGAACATGGACCCAACCGAAGCACAGAAAGCTATACATGTTTTTGAGCAAAGTATTAACAATGTCCGAAATAAAATAGACCCTATCATACATCAAGCTTCAAATTTAAATGCGGCGCCTAGTGTCCAAAAAAGGAAACGCCCAAATAACAGCCAACAGGATCACCGTATTGCCTGTCTAGAAGTTTGTGATGTTATTATAAACAATGCAAAAGAACGGTTTGCATATACAAATCATCTAGTTGCCGCAACACTTTTATCTTCAGAACATTTCGAAAAATATAATAATAAGTTTCCTGAAAATGAATTGGATTTAACTTGTACAGCTTATAACTTCTTTGATAAAAACCGTTTGCGAACAGAACTGTCAGTTTTGTATTCCAATATCGAGTGTAGAACATTAAAAGGTGCAGTGCCTTTACTAAAATTTATAATTTCTAATAATTTAGAGGACACATTAACAGAAACCAAAAAGTTGATACAAATTCTGGTGACTACGCCAATGACCACAGCAGAAGCTGAACGTAGTTTTTCAACTTTAAAACGGATCAAAACATTTTTAAGAAATTCAATGTGCGAAGACAGATTAACAGCCCTTTCCACACTCTCGATAGAAAAAAAGTTCATCGCTTCAATACCGAACTTTAACGATAAAGTAATCGAAAAGTTTGCGACAAAAAAGGACCGGCGTATTAATTTCCAATTTAGAAAAATGCAATAAATGTAAGTTAATCAGATTTTTATAGCATGTCGTTATTAGTTACTATTAATTAGTATTAAAGCTAATTTTATTGTTTTTGTTTTCGTATGTTATTCTATTTCTATTATTTTATATTGACCGTGGTTCATGCAGCACACCCTATAGCAGATGTCACGAGCCGCCACTGAAATCTGAGAACCATTTGTCTACGAATTATGCACACGTCTTTGGGAAAGTCGCATTTTCTTGAGACTTATCAAATTTCACACAGCTATTTAAATAGAATTTCGGAGAGTTTTTAGATTTTAGAGAGAATTTTAGACGGAGAGTTTCGACACTATTCCTTCAGCTAACATCTACAGTATTTAAAAGGGAGCAATTGCGTTTCTTTTTTGCTGATAATAATTTTTAAAATATGTCAACTGAATTCTTTGTTTACGATCATATACATATCATTTTTTACGGCTTTAATTAATTAACCAGCTAAACTTTATATTATTTCCTAAATAAATATCCATATATTATCAAGGAATTTAATTGAAGTTGAAACTTGTCTCAGGTTTACCAATGTTTGTGACGCTGAGATTAAGAGGCTATGGTTAAATAGTTTCATATTAGAGGAGTGCTGGCTTAATATTATTATAAGCATTGTCGGAATTTCAATATTTCTTTAAATAGCATAGACAACACCAACGAGGTGAAATATGTCAGTATAAATCTGAAAACGATTGCAACTGCAAACAATTAAAACTAAATTGTACTTTTTCTGAATTATATATAAGTTTAAAATATAAATAATCAACGTACCTGGTTCTCTAATTTCTAACATCCATTCGGTAAACTGACTAACATGATTCTTCATTTTATTTACAATATCACAGAATTTGATTTCGTCAGACTCAAAACTACTATCGATACATTCGTGTTTTCTATTATACATTACCATACGACAATCCCTCAAGTTCACTTGCGTGGAATTCAAATTGAAACGTTGGTATGCCTCTTTTGCCGCCTCTTCTAACGACGAATCATAGAATACGTGAAGTTTTATATCTGATAAAGTGTGTGAACTGGGATTATCGCAGAACACCTAACAAAAGAGAAAAGCATTAAACAAGTAGATGGTAAAGAACTTTTACAATATAACCTTGTTAATAATTCATCAATAACTAAAAAAGTGAAATATTCGTGAGTTATAAATATGTATGTTCTAAATCGATATACTCATATTCTACAGGTTTTTATTGATTATGTTACATGCTTCGCCCAGCTAATACTTTCAACTTTTGATATTTTCTAATAATGACTAGATACACACATGTATCATTTTTGAACAAAATGTGCCTCATATCAATAGAACAAAAAAGCTTCTTTTTCCGTCCTTACATTCTGAAGAATATTATCGGTAATCAGTTTTCTGCAGCTGATAACTTTTCCTGCAAAGTGTCTAAAATATTCTTGTATAATATATGTCTGAAAAGGGGCTTTTGAACAATGTCTGCTGTCAATATTGACTTACGGTGCAGAAACTGAATACTAAAAAATCTATAGAAAAATTAGGAGTAACTCCTGAGATATGAAGCAGTATATGTTGGAATTAACACCAATAAATATGTTCTAAATATAATTATAGGAGCTAAAACATAGATTATTGATACTATAGAAAGTATGGCATACATGAAGTGGAACTAAGCCACATACGTGACGAGAATGAATAAGTTAGTTTGACTAAACGATTATTGGAGTGGGGTCCTACATTTCAAGCATTAACAGGAAAAACAAGAACTGCGGCACGGATCATCGTGGGCGGATGGTGTAACGAGGGTTACAACAAACTGTAATACGTATTGATACGCATGTTAAGTTAATTCTTGTATTTTTGAAACATTTTTAATCTCCTTCAAAGCAAATTTTGTCAGCGCCTAAGGATTGTGAGTACCTAGACTTAATTATCCTAAAGATAATATCTAAATTCATCACATTGATAATATTTATAAAATAAAATTTATAGAACGTACGTGTAAAAAATTGTCTCATGTGTATATTGCAAGATATAATGACTAATTTTTATATAACTTTCACATTATCAATTTAAATCAAATTCAATTTAAATGGCATATTAAAAATTTCCCGTGCGCCTTTGATTTGTATCTAAATTAAATGTGACAAAAATGCCTAAATATATAATACCAAAAAATAATACCAACCGATATTCGCATCATTTCGTTTTCTTTTTCCCTATTAATTCGATCTTCTTCTTCTTTCCTTAACATATCGGCCAACAATTGTTTGATATGTGGCGGAAAATCATCAAAACCCATAGCCCGAGCATTTCGATCCTTATCTATTTGTCTGTACATTAACATATAGGCGTTTGTACTCGACGAATAGGCCCCTGAATAGTATCCCCTATGAGGGCCGCCACCATACGTTTTTCTTATGTCTTCTTCGGTAATCTATAAAAAAGCAAAAAAAGAATACTTAGCCATTTGCGCATTAAAGATTAATAACATTTATGCATTTTAATTTTTAATTTTTAAAACCAAAAACAATGCTGTGCAATTTGCAATATTATTGCAAGTGTATTTCCCTGTATTATATTATTAATAACAAAAATAAATTTAGGCCAATTGATGGAACTAAAACTAAACTCGAAATTCAATAAAATTGTCAGCAACAACTTTATTTATTTATCACCATACAAATTCACTTCTGTGAATTTCACTAGACAACTTTTTCCGAAAAAAAAACGGACATACAAAATAGAAAATGAAATCGGTTAATAAACAAAAAAGTTGCAAAATGAACAATAAAATCGTTGTTTTTGAAACTATTGTTAATAACTATTTTATTTTTTTTTATGAAAATTTATTTAAATGTACCTGTACTTAAGGGTCTTATCGTGTTTGAATTGTGTGCAAAAGATGGGCTAGATCGGTTGAATAGTTTTTGCGAAATTTAATTACATTGGGTACATATGATTTAATATTACATAGAACTTTTTAAGCTTATAAACATTTACCCTAACATATACTAAAAAATTGATTTGTTCAAATTTATTAAGAGTATATGAAAAATAGACTATTAGTCTACATTAGAGACTATATTAGTCAAACATAGATACAAAACTCAATTAAAGCAGTAAATGCATACCCCGGAGCAGATGTCAACTCAGACCATAACTCGCTGATAACTAGAATGCACGTGAAACTCAAAAATAATGTAATACCTAAAAACAAACCAACGTTTGACATACAAAATTAAGAAACAGAGAAATACATCAAAAAGTGATCCAACATGTCAACTCAAATCTAACAGAAGTAGGAGAAGATATCTTAACATCAAATGTCAATGAAAAGTGGAGTAATATTCAGAAGGCATTACTAAAGGATGCAGAAGAAAAAAAATAAAGGCTGAAAAGACAGATAAAAAACAGAAGTGGATGACTTCAGAAATTCTAGCATTAATGGAAGAGAGGAGAAAAGCCAAAGGGATAAATGAGCCAAAATATCAAGAACTACAAAGTAGAATTAAAGTAGAGATAAAAAGGCCCAGGAAAAGTGGTTAACAGATCAATGCATAGAAATAGAAGAGTATGGCAGAAAATACGACAGCTTTAATATGCATAAAAAAATAAAAGAACTAACAAATACCAAAAAACGAGCATACTACGGGATACTCAAAGATGATCATGGTTAACTCATTGCAGACATCAAAGATAAACTAAGATTTTGGCAAGAATACATAATGAAACTATTCGACGATGATAGAATAATACAAGAAGAACCACAGGAACAAACAGGACCGAAAATAATAATGTGCGAATTAGAACAAGCAATTAGAAATGCAAAGACCACAAAATCAGTAGTCCCAGATCAGATACCCACTGAGCTAATTAAATGAAGTGACGAAGAAACACTGCATATACTTTTAGATCTGTTCAAAAAAATATATAGAACAGGAGTAATACCCGAAGATTGGTTGCTGTCCACATTTGTAACACTACCAAAGTCAGTACATGCGACAGAATGTTCCCAGTGCAGAACAATTTCCTTAATAAGCCACACACTTAAAATATTTCTCAAAATAATACATAGACGACTTTACAAAAAAATAGAAGATATAGATGACACCCAGTTTGGATTCAGAGGAGGACTAGGAATGAGAGAGGCTCTGTTCGCTTTGAACGTTCTCGCGCAAAGACGACTAGATATGAACCAGGATCTCTATGTTTGCTTTATAAATTATCAAAAGGCTTTTGATAGTGTACGACATCAGAAACTAGTAAAACTGTTAAAAGAAAATAATGTGGATAGTCAAGATATACGGGTTATTGTCAATCTGTACTGAAACCAAAAATCAAAGGTTAGAATCGATAATGTCGATACAGAAACTATAGAAATCAAGAGAGATGTTAGACAGGGTTGCGTGCTGTCCCCATTGTTATTCAATATGTACATCGAAGCTATTTTTAAGGAAGCAATATCAGAGGAACAACCGGGTATATCAATAAACGGAAAAATCTTGAACAACATAAGATTCGCATATGACACCGCTATTTTTACAGTCTAGAAGCACTGGAACGCTTGGTAAATAGATTACATCAAGTCAGTATAAAATATGGACTACAAATGAATGTTAAGAAAACCAAGTGTATGATTATTTCTAAGCAACAGACAGTAGGAAGGCTAGATATCGAGGGAAAACAAGTAGAAAGAGTGAATAACTACAAATATCTGGGAACCTGGGTAAATGAAAACAATAAAAACATGACCAAGGTAGAGAAATAAGGACACGCATTAAAATTGCAAGACAAGCATTCATAAAAATGAAAACAATGTTTGTTAATCAAAACCTTCCTCTGGAGCTGACGATAAGAGGCTTAAAATGCTACGTGTTCACGACTTTTTGTATGGTGTGGAAAGCTGGACATTAAAAATGGTTAATATAAAGAAGTTGGAATCATTTGAGATTTAATGCTATAGAAGGATCTGGCTTATATACTTTATGATCGTTTACTAGTATATACTGAGGAAAAAATAGGCAAATACCAATGTGGATTCCGAAAAGAAAGGTCAACAATTAATCAGATTTTCCTTCTCAGACAAACCTTAGAAAAGACATATGAATATGGAATTGATACCCACCAGCTCCTCATAGATTTTAAAAGCGCTAATGACAGTGTAGACAGAAGCGCATTTTATAATGCCATGGCAGAACTAGATATTCAGTCGCATCTAATAACATTGGTAAGGGCAACTCTTTCGAAAGTTGAGTGCAAAGTCCAGGTACAAAACAGAGTGTCAAGGTCTTTTCAAACACATACTGGATTACGCCAGGGAGACAGTTTATCGTGCCTATTGTTTAACATCGCGCTAGAAAGAGCCATAGAAAAATCGGGCATAACAACCAGAGGTACTATCATCAATAGAAGTGTACAGATATTGGCCTACGCAGATGACATTGCAGAAATTGGAAAGACGGGGCGAAAGATAGGGGGGAATGGAGACTAATTCTTGAACAGGGCAAGACTCACCCAGGGTTGTAGGGCCAAAGATCATGATAATGCTATAGAAGGATTTTAAAAATGCCATGGACCCAACGAGTTACAAATGCGGAAGTGGTAAGGAGGCTACAAAAGGATTGCGAGGTAATAAAGGACATCAAAACAAGAAAGCTAGAATATTTAGACCACATTACCAGAGGTACGAAATATGAGATATTAAGGCTCATAATTCAAGGTAAAATCAAGGGTAAAAGATTCATAGAAAGACGAAAAATTTCCTAGCTAAGAAATCTAAGAGAGTTGTATAGTTGCAGCTAAGTAAATATTTTCAAACTAGCCGCCAATAAGATACGGACAGCTGTGATGATGTCCTACCTCGGATAGGAGAAGGAACTACAAGAAAAAGAAGAAAAATTGTTTATAAATAAAAATTTAATAATGTTAAAATAACAATAAAAAGGCGACGAAATGATTTGTACATTCCGTAGTCATTAGCTGCTTTCTTTTGGAAAATTTTGCAATGGAAATACGATCAATGTTATTATTTTAACAGTAAAAAAAAAAGTAAATAGAAAATTTGGTCAGGTAGAACCAGAGATATCTAATTTTTTTCAAAACTCTCTTTTGAAACTGTTCATTTTTTTGAAGAGCGCGTCTAGCCCTTCAGTCGACTAACGTCACTCCTTTTATTCTATTCGGAACGAAACGCACTTTTTGTTTACAACAGTCATGTTTAAACAGTTTTCAATAATTTTGTTTGCTAAAAGTTTTGTTAAAAACTTGGACTTTTCTTTTAGAAATTTAGTTGATTAGTTAATGTCAGCCCTTGTAATACTGTTAATTATCGTAATAGTGATTTAAAAAATTAGCTATAAGGATCTGTAGGATCTTTATTCTTTTTTTTTAAGTCGTGTTTTTTAATCAGCTTTCCGAATATTTTTTCGACATTTAATTTTAACTAAATTCTGCAGATTTATTGTAAATGTTTACAAGCTTAAAAAGTGCTATTTATTATTAAATCATTTTGAGTACATTAGTGTAATTTTTTTAAACTTTTTTCGATATGTTATTAGTATATTATGGATTATTGAGATCCATTCGGTCAAATTATCTGGACCAGCCTTAGAATATTTCAAAATATCTTATAAAAAATTAAATTCGCAAAAACACATTTTAATAAATATTAAAAGATTTTGTTGTGCATTTTAAATAACGTTTTTGTTTATTAACTGATTTTAATTTAGTATAAATCTCTTCATTTTGTGTATTTGTTTTTTCTAAAAAGGTTGTCTATTAACGTCAAATTTGTAAATAGAAAAGTTTTTAAGTAATGAGCAAAATAATGAGTTTGGCGTTTTGATTGTTGCCGGAACTGGCAACGCGGTAGAACTGGCAACGCGGTAAGAACTGGCAACGCGGTAACGATTAGATCAATACGTTTGTTGTTTCGGCTGTATTAACCCGATTTATCGAGAGTTACAACGAGAAATAAACAATCAAAATTAGTTAGAGGGCAAAACAAAGTTAAAAACTAATCAGTAGTATAAAAAGTGGACTTCTAAAAGGTGAGTCAGTGAAATAATTATAAGCAATTAACCAAAATACACCGAAGAGGTTAACTGATAAGCGCGATAAAAAGCAAAACATTCACTGAAGTCTTCACCAATTTTTATGCAATGTTGCCACTGTGAGCAATATATCCCAGGCGACAATATTTTAGCTGGTTGTAATAAATAAACGGTAGACACTGTTTTCTCTGAACCGTTGAGGTGGAAGATAGTGCCTGGCGCCGAATAATGAAAAAGTTTTTGAAGAAAGGAAAAGATTGGGAGAGCGATAGATCAGTAACGGACGATGGAATAAAAAGAAAAATGAGGGAGGATGACATCGAAGATGAAGAAAGAGGAGAGCATACGAAGAATAGATAGCTCGCAACAAACTCACCACGGA